TCATAATTCTTCTCTCAACTCCCTATTGAAGTTTTTTTTTTTTTTTTTAAAAGGCGGTAAGCTTGACATACTCCATAGAGGTTCAGTTCACGATCGGCACGGATATCAAATAGTCGGCAGGTGGCATCGTCGGATCCAGTGACGAAAGAGTGGCCATCGGGGAAGAACTGGATGGCGTTGATGTCGGATTCGTGGCCGGCAAAAGTCTGGACCGCCTTCCCGGCACGAATATCCCAGAGCTTGGCGAACGCGTCGCAGGCACCGGAAATAAAGGTGTTCTGGTTGGTGGGATTCAAGCTGATGCTCATGACATCGCCGAGATGGTCGGCAAACTCGGTGACCTTTTGGCCCGTCTCAATGTCCCATTTCATGCAGGTCATGTCACCGGACGAGGTGAGGATGCTGCGGTCGTTGATGAATCGACAGCAAGAGAGATAGCCGGCGTGGCCGGATAGTTCCCTGGCCACCCGCGTAGGGCCGTCGCGCTGCTGGTTCAAGTTGTAGATGGAGCAGATGTTGTCGAGACCACCGCAGGCGACAAAGTTGCCGCTGGGGGCGTAGGCGCAGGTCATGACCCATGATGATCGCAGGGGAATAGCGTGGACTTTGTTGGTGGTGTAGGCGTCCCAGATGATGAGCTTTCCGTCCTGCGAGGCGGAAACGAGGTGTCGTCGGTCAGTGGACCAGTGCATGGCGTAGATCTTGGCCAGATGGCCCTTGAGCGTTCGCTTCGACCGCATGAGCTGGTTCTTGGGGATGGACTCGTGAGCCTGCTGGGCGACAGCCCGGACTAAGATCGAGAGCGTTAGCAACTGCGGCAACTTTTGTTCTTTCGAGTTTTACGCATGGTGAGACAAATTCGCAGCCACCCGCCATGGCGATTGCACAGCCAGCGAAAACCCTAGAGAAACTACGCAGAGAGGACTCAAAACATACGTGTGGTATCGGCCAGCTCATCCTTCTTTCGCTTGATCCTGTCCTTCAGCGTCTCGGCCTCGCGACGCGCTTGCTGGATGCGCGCCTGCATCGCCTCGGGCGACACATCGTTGGGCTGCGAATTCATGGCGGCGGGTTCGAGCGTGAGCGGGCGAAAAAAAAAGGGCAGTCGAGCAGCAGGCGAAGGCGATTCTCTCTGCACGGAGTGTTGGCGGATTCGCTCGTCGGGGGGGAATTGAATTGACGAACTTGGGATTGTGGAGAGCGGAGGGAGAGGAGAAGAAAGAATGCGCTGGGCTTTGGGGGTTTGGGGGGAAGAGAACTGAACTGAGCTACAGCAACGTTAGCTCCTATCCCAGGGGGTTGGGCTAGCTTGGCTGGGGCCCGGCTGTCTGGGGGCGGATGATGGGAAATTGACGGTGGGCTGCCAGGCCCTGAGCAGAAGGGTAGGGGAGCAGCGCTGAAGGGTCGCTAGCGAGGCCAACGCGCGGTGGGCTCTGAGGCGCTGGAATCGGCTGCTTCTAGGGCCGGGTCGAGCTGGCGCTACTCTGCGCTATCCTGCGCTACAGATGCTGCGTGCAACTCGACGTTTGGCGGGCACTTTAGCCAAAAGTGCCCGTGGACCTGATGGTGCCTTGAGGCTAGATTGCAGCCATGATGCCGCGATAGGCATCTATGTACGCACTCTACTAAGCTGTGAGCGAGCGCGCGCGCATCCACCGCGGTCCCCTTTTTTTCCCATTTCGCAGCTGCTGCATATCGCAACTGATAGACGCTGCGGACCACCCACTACTGCTACAGCGCAGGCTGCGCTACGGCTAACGGCTGCGCTGCGCTTATGCTGCAACGGGAAAAGGACGTGCGGAATAACTGCATTCTGCCATCAGTCGGCTGTACCTGTACCTTTGTCCATCTCGCGCGCGGGTCGAGGTACAAGGAGGGGCCCCAGCTTTGCAACAGCGCAAACGCAGAGATGCGCTCTTGGCTCTGCATCATTCGTGTTTTACTGCCTCTGTTTCGTGTTTCTTTGTACGAGCTCAGCCCTCGCCTTCAGCTTGTTAGCATTTCTAATCGCCTCACGTCCCGCGGTTCTGGTTTCCGGGATTTCGGGCACAAGGCGGAGCGCTTGTAGGTGTGAGTACAAATTGCGGTACATTTGGAGTACTACTCGTATATATCAGCTCAGCGATGAGATATATCTCAACTTAGACGCATATGCTATTGAGTTGGTGCATTCGCGCTTTGATATTGCCAATTCCCATGCCTTCTGCTCTGTCATGAATCCTGACGAGTCTGTCCAGTCTCGTCTACGGCCGCATGAGACCAGATTCACATGAGAGAAAAGATACAGCGGCAGCACTGTCTGTATTGGCAACACCAACAAGCACTCCCAATATGGTTATTACATCAGGGGCAAGGAGAGGAGGCCGGTGGAGTCTCGCTCCTCGCCAAAAGAACATTTTCTGCTTCTCTTTTCGCTTCTGCATTGCGACCAGGGTGCGCTTTGAATTACCTCCTCGAGCAAGTACTGGCTACTTCCGACGCTGTACCAGGTACGAGCAGGGAATAATTCGCTAGTTCCGTGCACGAAAGACCTTTGGGGCCAGATTCAAATCTTGCCGTCCATTTCTGGGACTGGTGTTGCTTCAATTCCTTTTTTTCACGCACCTTTTTCTGCGTCGTTGCTTTTTCTCTCACCATCTGCCGCACGATCTGCACTCAGCCAGGCCCGATGCTACTGTACTGCAAAATTCGATCAATCGGCCAACAGCCCGGCCAATTACCAAATCTCGCGTTGAGTGGGAATTGCGTCGGTTTGGTTCCTGGCCAAAAGGGCCCGGCCAGCTTCAACACTCCACTGACGCCCGTTGACGCCACTGGCCGGTAGCCCTGCAGCTTTAACCCCTGATGAGATTAGTCGCTGAGCACGGAAGATGGGCTCCGTCGAATGCTTCTGATACGGTTGCGAGTAATATTCGCCAGCAGCGCGGAGTGATTGGCCTCTGGCCTGCCTTTTCTCCTGGGCGGGATGCAATGCAGAGGGTGCTAAATCTGTGGTGGTTTGAATGCCTACCGTGAGATGTAGCACCAATGGCCGGGCGAGGCTTCGAATCCTCCAGCAATCAGCGTGCAGGCGCTTCTTCTCCTGCGAGGCGCACAAGGCAGATACCCGCGATGCCTCAATCCTTCTACAGTAACGCTGCTGCTGCGTCTTTCTGCCTGGGCGAGTAGCAGCAACAGGAAACGGCTGGAATTGAACCGCAGGCCCAGGACTGGCCAAGCCAAGAGACGCAATTTACGATGCCTGCACGGTGACCCGCTTCTTCCTCCGAGCCCACCTTCTAAGAGCAGGTTTGGCCCCGGCCCATTACCAAGACGGTTTGCTTTTGCACTCGATCCCGGCCGTGGGCAAGCAGTCATTCGACTTGGATGGATCTGCCTTGGCTCTTGCTGCGAGTAATTTGCAAGCAAGCTGTACTTGAAGCTTAGCAGTCTTGTGTTGACGACGAGAGGCACCCTGATACACAGCGGGCTAGCAACTCACTATCCGAAGCTGTGCGCGCGATAGCACAGAGAGAGACGGGGGGATTTCAGGCTAGTGACTCAGCTCTGCCTTGGAAATCCCAGAACACCGGATATTGCCAGGCCAGAGGATGGACGACGCGGATGTGAGCGAGGCCCTCCAGGATGCCGTGTGGATGATGCCAGCGTAACGGCCACACTGTGCTCCAACAGCGGGAGGCAGCTTGTCGGGAGCTTGCATTTGTCACCGTGGATGAGAGCGCTTGGGCGGCTGCTTGCTGCGCAGGTATCTGCTTCGTAATACCTGCACGAAGAGCTATTCATACAAGTTGGACCCAGAGGCTGTGCTAGTTTATACGTGTATGCGGAAAACCCAGTCTTATTCCGCAGGCGAGCAGATCTACCCAACTAGTTCTCCTAACAAGAGACTAACAGAGCTTGCCGAGACATGATTTACACATCAAATATGCTCCCGCCATCTGTCATCATGGACAGCAGACCTATTAGTAACTGCCGCTTTATGCTTCTCAACTTATAATCTCTCGCTTGAATCTGACAGCTTACCTACCTACAGTATAGCTGCTCATATGTCTTACTTGCATTTCGACTTCTACTTGGAGCTGTTCTCGTACTAAGCGGGCATGGTCTCTCTTCCAGGGTACGCCTCTCGGCACATTTTCTCACGCTTCCGTATTATGCCTCTATCCCAATGGAGCAGTTCGCAGCAGATGATCTCGATGTATAAAGTATGGTCTGGATTAACCCTGCGCTACTAGTCATATAAGACGGGAACTTAGTATAACCGTCATTTGCGAATTGCTTGTACGCGAGAGCTTGTCCAGACGCCTTCTCATGAGCAGTTGGCTATAAAGCCCCATACTCGATACCACGTCAGGTCTCCCATCGGTGAAAGCCAAAGGCGAATTAGAGGAACAAAGCGCTACATGGCGATAGAAATAGTGCCACTACCTGGAAGCTGCTAATGCACATACACTCACCGGGAATGGCTCCCCGAATCGGTACCTGCGTGAGGCTTTTTCAAGGGGGGATATCCACAAGTGACTGAGTGAAGCGATGAGACGAAAAATGATAGCGGCATGCTGTTTTACAGTACACACATCCATCTTGGAATATATAGTATTAGCCTTTTTTCATCTTGCATTGATATGCTACGAATGGTGTGGGTGCTGCTATAGACAACATTGAAATCTCATATATGATATCACGATCCCCCTAAGATTTAGCTGCGTTCAGTGTGCTGCTACACCCCTTAGCAAAGCGAATCAACCGAGGAATGACTAACGAGCTTCTACATCAAGCTAGCTCAAACCCAAGGGACACATCGTTGAGACTTCAAAATCATATATAAATCTTGTAGTACTTCCATTTCTTCATCATTGCATTAATAAGACTGCCCAAACGCTATCCCGGCAAGGATTTTCACGAAGCACACCCATCTTCTCTCTACATATTTCGTTTCCTTCTCTTTCGAGTACATGTATTCTATTCAACATTAAGCTCTTTTTCCATGTCTAGTCTCATTAATTGGCCTCTGCCCACTGCTTGAACCACTCCAAAGCCTCAGGGTTGGCCACGCTGGCATTCGTCTTGACCGCCATGCCTGAAAGGATCTGCTTCACAGCAACTTCGATTCTATAAAAGATTCACGAATTAGCATTTCTTATCTTGACTTGTTTCTGAGGAGAGAGAGAAGAGAAGACTACTGACTTTTTACCGTTCCCCGTCTTGGGCACGCCGCCTCCGCATTCTTCCACCACACCCGGGACGTGACGCGGGCTGAGCTCGCTCTTAATCTTCTGCTTGATCCTGTTTCTCAAATCATCGTCGAACTTGTGCTCCGGCGTCGTGACCACAAAGAGACACACTGTCTCGTCAGTGTCCGTGGCCCGTCGGCGGCCCACGCAGACAGCATCTTCCACCTCGGCGGCGAAGAACCGAATCAAGATGTTGTAAATCTCGGCTGAGCCAAATCTCACACCAGCAGGCTTCAGGACACCATCAGATCGTCCCAGCATGAGAAGACCGCCCGTCTTGGCATCGGGAATCTTGACAAAGTCGCCGTGATGCCATACCGCACCCTTGACCCCACAGACATCCTCAAAACGCTCAAAGTAGGCGGCCTTGTACTTGTCGTTGCCAGTGGCGCCGAAGAAAGTCAGGGGCTGGCAGGGGAAAGGCTTGACGCAGACCAGATCACCCGGCTCTCCTGCGGGCACTTCTTCTCCGGTGACAGAGTCGACAACTCTGATGGCCATACCGAGGCCGGCGCACTGGATTTCGCCAACACGTACGGGAAGTAGAGGACAAGAGGCACCGAAAAGGGAGATGATGTCGGTGCCGCCAGTGATGGAGCCGAGATTAATGTTCTTGGGGAAGGCTTCGTAAACGAATGAAAAGGTGGATGGAGGCAGTGGTGATGCAGTGGAGTAGATGGCTTCAAGATGAGACAAATCAATGCTGGGATCGCGAATAGGATAGACGCTGTTGGCCTCCAAGGCCGTGAGGTAGGCCGCTGAGGTGCCGAAATGAGTGACCTTGAGATCCGACAGCACGCGAGGAAGAGACATGTACCCGTTGGGTCGGAAGGGCGATCCCGAGTACAGAATCAGCTTGGCTCCAGCAGCAAGCGCTCCGATGCTCCAGTGCCACATCATCCAGGAAGTAGTTGTGTAGTAGAGCATGCTCGACGCAGGGGTCAATGAGCAGTGCAGCACGTGCTCCTTCTTGTGCTGGATGAGCGTTCCCAGGGCCGTGTGGACAATGGCCTTGGGAAGTCCAGTAGTCCCGCTGGAGTAGAGGATGTAGAGTGGATGTGATGGCGACAGCTGCTCGAATTTGAGATTCTCTGAAGATGCGCTGGCGAGGAACGCTTGGTATTCAATAGCCTTGACGCCGTGAGCCTCAATGTCTTCGATGCCAAGCTCGCCCTTGATATTGTTGATGACGACAACCTGCTCCAAGCCCATCTTGCTGAGCTCCGCGACAATGTCATTTGTCTTGGATGTGCTTGACCACTCCTTGCCATTGTAAACGGTGCCGTTGTCTGCGAATAGGACACGAGGTCCAATCTGGCTCAATCGATCCAAGACGGCAGAGACGCCACTATCAGGGCTGATACCCGTCCATATCGCGCCTATAGAAGCGGCAGCCAGCATTGCAACCACAGCCTCTACATGGTTGGATACGTAACCGGCGACAATATCGTGGGGCTTTAGCCCGGCAGCGCGCAAAGCATTGGCGCATTGGCGGACAGCCTCGCGCAGTTCACCCCAGGTAGTTGAGCGCAAATCGCCTGGAAGCTCGGTGGTGGTGATGATAGCGGTGGAGTTGGGATCGAGAGGCTCTGCAGTGGGAGGAAATAGGAGGTTCTCGGCAAAGTTGAGGAGGGAGTCGGAGAAGAAGTCGGGGCGAGGGAACATGGGCGCATTCGGTGGTAGAACCTGTTCCAAAGAAGAAGAGACACCGGTTAGTGGACATATCTTATGGCTGGTAATTGTCAATATTGTCTGGGGCTACAACGCACCGAAGAATACGGCTTGGAGCTGACGATGCCGACAAACTGCCACACCTCGTCCCAGAACTGGGCGACGTTGTCGACGGACCACTTGTACAGGTCCGGGTATCCATTGAGACGCAGATTGTGCTTCTGGTTCACCGTCTGGAGAAACTTCCACATGGGCGTGGACGCAGGGTCTGGATGTCTCCAGAGCTCCTTTGCCGGCGCGACGCCAGGAACGGTGTCGATGCGATCGATAGACTCCCCCATGGTGTATATGCCGCGAATAGCCCGTGAAGCCGAGTATGAAGAAGAATGGAAGAGAAGAAAAAGCGAAAGCGAAAGAGAGACTCAGGGAAATCGATTGGTGTCCTTTTTCGTATATCTGCCTCTCCCACAACGGAAATTCAATATTATCAAATAGTTTACTCAGATTCAGGGACCAAAAATTGGTTGGGGTTCATCGCTGACGGCACTTGGCCCAATGCCGAATCGGCTTCGATTGCGCACCTCCATCTTAGCCGTTACAACCCGCGGACAACCCTCGGGACTAAATTGAGGTGGTGAGGAAGAAAGGCTGCGGCTGTTGCTTTCGAGAGGATTGTGGCTAGAGGCTGTGGCTGGAGGCCGAGGCAGGAAGCGGCGACTAACCAAGAACAATAATGTGGCTGAGCAGGAGATAGCGAGCTGCTGATGTGGCTGGTGCTACTGGATTGAGTTTTTTGACGAGCGAAGCGAAGGCTTGAGCATGTGATGGCTTTAAGATGGAATTACTGCATAGCACCATTTGCCTGTAAGCTTTGATCTAGCGAAATGCAGAAGTGCCGAGGACAACAGAGGTGGCTATTGTCAAATCACCTCTTTTTGTGTCATTATTTGAGCGAGGCTAGGACCTTTGCGTTTACAAGATACAGAATATAGACTCGCACTACTGTAGGTAGCAGCTCGGCATTTACTGCTCAGGTAGAGGATTCATCCTCATCAAAGCACATGGCCAAGAGCTCGCAACAAAAGCAACTCTCCACACCATCTCTACGGCTACGCGTACACGATAGCTTCGAGTGCGGAGGAGCAATTCCGTGTATTCCGCATGGTTGCACTTTTGCTGTGCTGGCACGAGATACTACATCCAGTAGCAGTGAGACACTTGCCCCCACTGTCTGGAGTGGGATGGGCTGTTCGTGTACAAGGCCCTTGCGTCTATTTAAAATGAAGAAAGGATCGCCGATGTCAGAGCCAACCCCGAAAAGTTAAAAACGAAGAGGCAAATTAGACAAGAGGATAAAAAAAGAGGCCCAGTTCCCTATCTCGTTCGTGTGATTATTGCCAGCAAGAGAAATGGATAGCATAGTAGTTTGGAGGCATATATACAATCTACTTATACACCCAATGATGTACGCCCGGCTTCCTCGGAGAGTTTCCAGCTACAACGAGCCCGCTCAGCTGGCAATAGTTTGTAGTGGCTGCCAACAGCTCGCAGCTCAGAGCTCTCAGCCCTTTCCTTTCCCGCTACCAGCGCCGCCCCCTTTCCGAGCGATAGAGAGGGCTGCGAAATGTCATCACGCGGGTGCCCCCTTGCAGATCTCAACGTCGTGCGACGAGCGCTGCCAGAGCTCTACAGTTGCTGTATTTGCAGAAGTTGTTGTATCTGTGTACTGTCAATAGTATTTGTTGCTGTATTACTGCCGGCCGCTGCTTGTTCACGCCCGAATACTACTGTACACACGTACCGAGTTGCATCATTGTCGGCGCAGCCCATTTATCATCTGAATATCATTGACTCGCAGCATGAGCATGATGGCTTCTCCTTGCCGTGATGCCGATGAATGGCAACTCCCGGCTTCACAAACCTGCAATTGCAGCATCTTGACGAGCACTACATCGCTCGAATGACCTCATCTTAAGCAATGCACGAAGCAATGCCGGAGAAGGCTCGCGGTTCGATGCTCTGGTCAGCCCCGGGGGATCCGATGCCATAACCGATAACCTGCTGGCCCACGTCTGCCGAGAAACATGAGGTGCTGGAGCTGGCTGGTACCCGCTGGTAGAACCACCGGTGCATCGGTACTTGCAGCGGGCGTCGCCGCGTTGCATCCGACCCATCAGGCGCCCAGAAATCGACCTGAAGGCGCCTGTTCACAGCTGTAGACAACGCAAAAAGGCCCAAATTAAGAGCCCCATGGCCCAGGCTAGGCGCCCACTTTTGCTGGGCAGAGCCCCCCCTGTCTGGCCGCTCCTGAATTCCGACTTGGCTGATTTTGACCGACCCGACGACGCTACGCTCTTGGCCGCAGCGCGCCGCAGTTCCGTAGCCCCAGTGTTTTGGCAGCAGCGAGAAAAAAGAAGCAGAACTGAAGCGAGGGAAAAAAGGTGTTGATGGAGCTGGTGGGAAAAAAAACCAGACAGCGGTACAGCTCTAGTAGCGTAGCTTATGATTGCCTGTTTTTGAGCCCTCCCGCTGCCGCCGTGGCCCTGTACTGCGCTGCCGCCGTCTCATTGGCCCGCTGCCAGGACCCCCTTTCGCCAATTCATCTTACCTTATCGTCCAGCCCAGCCGAAACATCCCCCCCAGAGGCCAAAAACCTACCTTCTTCAACCTGCGTTGCTGCCATCGTGGACCTTTTTTAATTCTTTGTCTCCCCCCTCGCGTGGTCTCCTGGTGCTCTCAATCTCGGATCTCCACTGCAGCATTGGCCTGTCACGACATCGTTGCGCCGACATCCAGGGCTGTGCTGACCCCCAAGCGTCGATCGATTCGATTCGAGCCGAGTCAAACAAGAGCCTGTCGCTACCAACGGCGAGAGACTCAGCAGCAGCAGCATCGTCGGCGTCGTTTTCAGACTGGTGAGTTCCGCATTGCGTTTGATATTCTGCGTGTGTGCTTTTAAACCCCAACCCTCAACCCAGCCAGAAGAAACCCACCTCTTGATGTCAATGAGGCTTTGGGCCATTCCACCTCTTGTCACCCATTCTCCCCCTCTCCTGTGGACTTGCAGTACCTATACCAGCAATTGTCCACTGCTGAAAGCTTGTTTGGGGCTTCATCAAGACACTTTGCCTGCTGCGGACGTCTAAAGCTGGTGGCGCTGCTAAGCAAGGCTTAAAAGCGTATGTGGCCACACCGCACCGCGCCGGAACTTTGGGCTCGTCGCGGTCGCTGCCGAAGCACTGCAGAGAAAAATTAAACAAAAATTAAAAACACGAACCAAAAGCTTCCTCTGCCCCCAGTTTACGTCCACGATACGCTTGCATCATCACCGAGATCTTGTTTTGCTCCTATTGGCCACTCAAGCTAACCAGCCTCGATTTTTTTTCCCTCTCCACCAGACGCCTCGTCCCAGATAGCCTTGTTCTGGGCCTGCCGACCTTTCCATCCAACTACGCGAGTTGGATCTGCTCGGTTAAAACTTCGTGGAGATCATGCCGCGACGGCTCGCAAACCCCTTCTCCTCTACCCAGTCTGCTATGTCAGCATCCGAGAAGACTGGCGAAAGACGTCTCTCGTCCTCCAAGACCAACCGACTGAGCCAGCTCTTCTCCTCCAGCCCAAAGTCCAAGGACCAGTCACCACTCGCCGCCATGCCGCAGAGCCAGATGAACACCATCTCGCCGTCGACGGTGTCGCTGCCCACCATTTCGCTGTCGACGGCGACCGGCGAGCCCAACAGCATCGAGCCAACCAAGATGCTGTTCAAGCCGCAATCGGCCGAGGAGCAAGAGCAGCGACGACTCGCCGAGTCTCAATTTGGCCCCCTGCTTGATCCGGCCCACCGCTATGTCAGCCAGTCCAATGGCGAGGAGTTCAAGGAGCCGATTGAGGATATGCCTCCGTACTTCTATCTCCTGACCACCTACCTGAGCTATCTCTTCTTGATCATGATGGGCCATTGTCGCGATTATTTTGGCAAGCGTTTTGGAGATAAAAAGCGCTACGACCCCCTCAAAGTGCGAAACGGGTTCGCCCCTCTCACTGATGATTTCGACAGCTTCTACACTCGTCGGCTGAAGGGTCGTTTGGATGACTGCTTTGCTCGCCCTACTTTCGGCGTTCCCGGTCGTTACATTACTCTCAAGGAACGTACGGCAGACAGGCTTAACCGCAACTACCACTACACTGGAAACCACGTCGAGACACTCAATGTGAGCTCCTACAACTACCTCGGCTTTGCTCAATCGCAGGGCCCCTGTGCCGATGCTGTCGATGAATGTGTCAAGAAGTACGGTGTTACCGCTGCAAGCCCGCGTGGCGATAGCGGCACTTCCGACCTGGCCCTCGAAGTTGAACGCGAAGTTGCAACCTTTGTCGGAAAGCCAGAGGCCATGGTCTTCTCTATGGGTTACGTTACCAACTCCAGTACCTTCCCCGCTCTCGTGTCAAAGGGCTGCCTGATTGTCTCTGACGAACTGAACCATGCCTCCATTCGTGTCGGTGCTCGTCTCAGTGGCGCTGTTATCCAGTCTTTCAAGCACAACGACGTGGCCGCCCTGGAGCGCGTTCTTCGTGAAGCCATCTCCCAGGGCCAGCCAAGGACTCACCGCCCCTGGAAGAAGATTCTCGTCGTTGTTGAAGGTCTCTATTCTATGGAAGGCACTATGGTTAATCTGCCGGCAATTGTGGCTCTCAAGCGCAAGTACAAGTTCTACCTGTACGTTGACGAGGCTCACTCCATTGGTGCCCTGGGACCCCGTGGCCGTGGTGTCTGTGATTACTTTGGTATTGATCCCTCCGAGGTTGACATCCTCATGGGCACCCTGACCAAGTCCTTTGGCGCCAACGGAGGCTACATTGCGGCAGAGAAGCACATCATTGACAAGCTCCGTGCCACCAACGTCTGCTCAATCTATGGCGAAGCCCCTTCTCCTTTTGTCCTCATGCAGATTCTTACCTCGATCAAGCTGATTAACGGCGATATTTCCCCTGGCCAGGGCGAGGAGCGTCTCCAGCGAATTGCCTTCAACTCTCGCTATCTTCGCCTTGGACTTAAGCGTCTTGGCCTCATCGTTGCTGGCTCTGATGATTCTCCCATTATCCCCGTTCTGCTGTACAACCCTGGAAAGATGCCTGCCTTTAGCCGCGAAATGCTCAAGCGCAACATCTCTGTTGTCGTCGTTGGTTACCCGGCTACCCCGCTCATCAGCTCGCGTGCCCGTTTCTGCATCTCTGCCGCTCACAACAAGGATGACCTTGACCGCATGATCAGAGCTTGCGACGAGGTCGGCGAATTGCTTCAGCTCAAGTTCTCTTCAGGCATTGCTGGCGGCTTGGAGCCGCTGCCTGCTGGTGTAGCACCAGAAAACGAGGCTGAGTGGAGGAGGGCCAACAATGTCGCCATCAAGCCTCCTCGATGGGATGTTGAAGAGGTCATTCGACGAGGTGCCATCGATTGCAAGCTTCCTCTGCGATAAACGCCACATACAATTTTTTTTATACTGTCAACTGTTTTTTAATTATTAGTGAGCAGTTCATGCTGTCTCTTCTCTGGTTACAGGAAGAAGAAATTACATAGAACGGGTAAAAAACCAAACTATGGCCGGTGTTTGAGGCGTCAAGTGTTTAGCTATTCATGGGAGATTTACACACATACAACACATTGTTTAAAGAAGGAAAGAAGGAAAGAAAGAAAGAAAGAAAGAAAGAAAAAACACACAAAACGTATAATAATGTTCGACTAATGGGGCTTTATGGTCATCCAGAGTATTACGATTATCTCTGATTTGATGTCAGCCATACTTCTACTATATAATTAATTAATGTGATCAATGCCTGACAAAGAGCGGCCATGAATGTGAGAATTACAGATGGTCATGAGTGCAGACAGACATTGGGGTGGAATTGCGGGATATATATGGCAGACTAGGTATTAATGAGATGGGATGGAGCTCGTACACTTGTACATGTGTAAAATAAGAGAAAGAGAGGTTGTTGGCGGACGTCTACCCTGGTATACCCAGAAGGCAGGAGGTCTCTCTAGATAGACATCTTATATATTAAAGCTAACTCGGTGATTCAGAGATCAATTGATGCGTTAGCTCAACACCCTGTTATAGGATCGTGCCACATAACCTGGTTTACAACTAAGTCAGGGGCTGCACTGATAATAACGTCTACGTGACCGCGACGCATGCTGTATGACGTCCATTTCTCCTTTGAATTAAGATCCCTACTGACACAATCGGGGGAGGTAGAAAGCATATGTGGAATTCCTTTTCGGCTCTTTTGGCTATTTCACCTCCTTTCTAGAGACGCTGTTCTCCTAGACTTCCGGCCGCATGTCATTCCCGACATTTTCCTAGATGCCATGGAGGTTCGCTCAAAAATCTTCGTTGAAGAACAAGGTGTCCGGGCCCAGAATGAACTCGACTCAGACGACCATTGTTCTTGCTATTGGGTCCTCTACACAACGGCCGAGGGGACAGAAAATCGTGGTGAAGCGAACTTTGCAGAAAACAACTTGCTCTCGCCCCTGCTAGAGCTCTATCAGGGCAATACTTATTGGTGCGAGACAGGTTTGTCCTTTTTCCTCATGAGGCGCACCCTAGTAAACTCCGGTGGGATATATTTTGACGGCATCGCGGAAAAAAAAGGAAAAAGGGGAAGCAGAAGAGCAAGGTCGAGGAGCACTTAACCATCTACCTATCGTGAACGCGTGATGACGAGATGATTGACAAATTGACACCATTGAAACCTTCATTGAAACCTTTTTGAAGAGTAAGAGAGCTCAGTCACTGTTTGTTCTGAGCCATGCGGGCATAATAGGCCAAAAAAGAGCTGAAACTCTGGAGGCGAAGGTACTCTAAAGGTTGGCCCGCAGTCGACTGTCTTGTGAAGCATGCGCCACTGGATCTCTACTCACCATTGTCTGAAGATAGACTTTGTACGTTTCGACACGTGAACGAGACATGGGTCTCCTGGAGCATGGTTGATCACAATGTCCGAGGAGGAAAAGCTGTAGAGGAAATAGTCCTTGAAAAGACTGAAAAATCCATAACGAAGACATGACGTGGCGAAGTTTCCGTCGTTGCTTGTCATCCCCAAAATAGCAAACGGGAGTTATCAATTTCGGTGACAAATGAAATTAAATCTCCCCATGTACTTGGTATTTCTTGGGACAAGCTGAGCCCCAAGTGGTGCTGTGGCTGACCGGGATGAGCGAGGACCACGATGAAGGGAATCTGTGCCAATCTCATGTAACAAGTTGGGCATGGGTTTGTGAATGAAGGTTCAGGTGGCAAATCCGGTGGTATACGGCATTTAGATTTAACGTAGGACTTGGATTTTGTTCCATCCAACGAGTTCGCAGATTATGATTTCATCCCCATCACCTTCCTTGCTGTTAGGAGCTCCAAGTAAATACCTGTAGTGAACGTGTCAAGTAAGCATACTGGCCCCAAGATAGAAGAGGAGGAAGAAAGAAAGAAATAAGAGAAAAAAAGACAGAAAAACAAAACACAACGTTATCGTGTAACCTTTAATAGCGCTTGCTTGTGGACATACCTGCGGCTTTCCATTTACCCCTCAGTCTGTCCAAAGCTGCCTCTAAGAGCTCGAGATCAATCTCCGCTTTGGTCTCTATGCACCGAATTCCGCTCATATAGAACCAGGGCAGTATAAACGGCGATGTATCGCCTGACTGCGACGGCTCCAGTTCTGAAGTGAGATAGAGTCTGGCTACGTCGGCTGCGGAATGAGCTGCGCCATCCAACGCGTCCTGTGCTACTTGCAAGCGTGGATCAGCTTGACTCAACTGAAGATGTGGCCATCTTAGAGTCATGAGAGCACTGTGTAGGTTAGAAGAATGTGCTTGCGTGAAAGACGGGCATGGGCTCTATACTCACGAGAAACCAATCGCTTTCTGGTAAAATAGCAGCCTGACCCTTGCCCCATTCTCTGGATGTGAGTAGCGAATCAAAGCGTTTAGCGTTCTATCTAGTTGTTCCGATTCTTGTTGTCGAAAATCGGATTTCATGGCTGGGTCGGATATATCTTGAAAAACTCGGCTCAGCAAGAAACTAGCTTGCACGATGCTCGCGAAGCGGCCCACTGAAGACGGTGGTGAAGACAGCGTGGAGGCAATCCCAGGATCGGTGTGGTTATGCCAATTTTCGTCGGGCCACGGCAACTGAGCACTCATTTGAGGCTCTGGAGTCATGAACAGTTGGCGTGGATTGCCAAGACCAAGGATCCTCATCAAGAAATGGATACTCTTTGTTAGAGCTAAATCAAGTTTCAACAACTTCTCAGGCTGCGCATCTCTCCAGAAGAAATATAGACCACCAAGTCCTGTTTTTCTCTTCGCCTTCCATGCGCACGCTGGCATGCTCTGAACTAGGTCTCGAGTACATCCATCCAAGGCCAAGGGCGGACGTGTGTTTGAGACAGATGCCAATGGAGATATGGGCATCCGAGTACATGGCGTTGCCGTGCTCGTAAACAGAAAGCAGAACGCAGCCTTGGAGTAGGTTTAAGGACAGCATCCCCTGCAGTTGGAGCTCTGTTCGATAACTTGTAGCTGCAGCGTAGTAATCCGACCATCGGCCATCTTCCCCAATGGGCTGCGTGATTAGCTTCATGCACAAGAGTAGGAAAGCTGCATCTGCAACAAAAGGCACAAGAGGGTTGAGTACATGATCAACCACCCTCTGCTTGGAAATAACTGGCAGCCATGGGGCAGCCAGGCGGTAATAGTTGGCTACTATGTGTTGAAGTGCTGGTCTATCTCCAAGTAGAGTTTGTACATAATTTGGAATTGTCTCCGAGGCATTGATCACGTAGCCTGGCACTTGACTGCGAAGAAACATGTCACAGTCCATAAACCGGATGGCCGCACTGCGATTCCCTGTCACAGCCTGGGAGTGGCCTCTTTGGAAAGCGGCTCCTGTCAGATGATGGCTTCTGTCTTCACTTGAAGACGTTGCCGACCCAGGGCCCAAGTATTCATAGTAGCACGCTTGCTGTTGACTAGATTCTGCCGGTAAGTTCAAGGCATGGCGGGAATGTCCTGACGCACAGTGGAATGACTTACCGCCGACATGAAGCACACTGGGGCAGTTCCTTGGAGCATCGCACCTTGCGCTTTGTGCAAAAGCGACAAGCCCGTCTCGCCCGAGGCACGTTGCTGAGAGAGACTTGTTCGGGCTCAGACATGTCGCGAAACGGACTTAACGTAGTCAACTGAATTGTAGCTACGGGAAGTAAAGGGCTTCTTTCGGTGGGCGCGGATGAACCGGAGGCCAGGTCGCTAGGGAAAGCTTCATGTTGCGTTTGGCCGTGTCTAGCAATGCGACCTTGTGGTTGACAAAGAAACGATACCTCGGTACGGGGGGAAATAGGTTGCAGAGTTGACTTGATGAGAGAGGAATGAGTAAAGTTGGGTTGCTTTCAACTAAAGCTGAAACTGGTAGCTGAATCAACTGTTCACGGCTTACAAACAAGCAATTCATAATGATCAAGTTAGAACATGTACAAAAGCTCGCTGAAGCACTGAGGTCTCCGAGATGCCAGGCTTTTCAAATTGAAGGGAAGCTTGTCACGATAGAGATGGCTTTGTTCTGGTTTGCACGTTAGGAACAAAAGTTAAGCATGACCATTTATCAATCTAGCAAGGAACGCTCTCAACTGCAAGTGTCAGGAGGTCAGGCTGAGGAGTCTACCACTGATGTCGAACTTGAATCATGTTCATTTCCTCAGTGGGAGCACGATCCCGAAAACCCGTGGAACTGGCCTACTTGGAAGAAAGTAGTCATGGTTGTCATGATTTCATCGCAAGCTCTTACCGCGTAAGTCCCTTCAGAATAATGCAAAAGCTGAAGAAGTTACCACTTGTGTTTCTGACTCAAGCTTGCTCCAGGTCCATTACCACATCAATCATCAGCCCCTCCCGGACTGAACTGATGGACAAGTTCAGCATCAGCAGCACTGAGGCAATCTTACCAGTCACGCTGTACACAATTGCCCTCGGTTTCGGCCCCATCGTTGGGGGACCCCTTTCAGAGATCGTCGGGCGTCTTCCGGTCTATGCAGGTGCACTGATTCTCGGAGCGCTATTCACCCTGGGAGCAGGGCTTGCCAACCAATTCAGTGCCTTGTGTGTGCTGCGGTTTCTTGTAGGTTTCTGCTGGGCACCCGTGCTAGCAGTTGCACCAGGCTCTCTTGCAGAAACCTTTGAGCCCAGGGTTTGAGGCTTCGTGTTCGCCCTTTGCATTATTATGCCCTTCTTGGGGCCCGGTCTCGGGTATCTATCAAGCTCCAAGTCTCTACATCCACGGACAAACAGGCTAATCACTGCTGTCTAGTCCGGTCATTGGGGCGTTTGCTACTACAGGAAAGAACTGGCGGTGGACACAATGGAGCCTGCTCTTCTTCGCCATTTGGAGCCTCCTTTGGAAACCCCTCACCCAAGAGACGTTCCACCCAGCCATCAAGGCACGGCTCGCCAAGAAAAGGGGGCAAGGAATCCCTTAGAGGACCCTAGTTCTGGCCCGTCTGCGGATTTTCGTTGTGGTAGCTGTCATTCGGCCTCTGCGCATGCTGTTATTCGAGCCTATAGTTACATTCATATGTCTGTATGTTGCTGTTGAGTTTGGCACTCTGTTCAGCTTCTTTGCCGGTGTGCCGTACACCTTTGCTACTGTTTATGGCTTCTCCATTGACGACGCCGGCCTTCTATTTCTCACAATAGTCATTGGCTGCCTGCTGGGATTGCTTACCATTGTGTTGTGCGACTTTTTTCTCTATCGCAAGCAGGCGCCACGATATGCCTCAAACAGAATACTTCCCGAGTATCGGCTATATCCAGCACTCTTTGGCAGCGTTGGACTTCCTGTCGGCCTCTTCTGGTTCGCGTGGTCAGCTCGACCGGATGTTCACTGGCTAAGCCCGGCTGCTGCTATTGTTCCATTTGCCTGGGGCAACCTTGGCATCTTCATCTCGACTGTGCAATACTTCTCAGACACATATCAAGGAAACATCGTAGCTAGTGTTGCAAGAGCTAATAGTCTTGCACGATACGGTTTCGCTGGTGTCTTTCCACGTTTTACTCTTCAAGGTCAGTCTGCCCCTTGTCAATAAGCTAATATAAAAGGCTAAATTAAGCACTCCTTTAGTGTATCAAAAACTAGGAGTCCACTGGGCGGCGAGTCTGTTAGGATTCTTGGCATTAGAATTGCTTCCAGTACCTTGGCCCAAGATTCGATCAAGGAGCATGTATCCGACCATTGAGTATGCCAAAGCCATGGATATGTAGTCCATCGGGTTGGAGAAGCTTTTATGGCTCTTCTTAATGGTAAATACGGAAGCGACAGATTGTATCAGGGGTATGGAGCTGTGAGAACACAAAGTGGTCTCTGGGGTACATATAATTACTCTATTGGGTAATTGTAGACTAAAATAGAGGCTTGAACGCTAGCCATTCTTGGTATACCTGGCATACACTGCGCCGAGAGCTTCAAAGAGCCTGATATGGTCGCGCTCCTCACAGTTCTCCCTTTCCCCCTCTTTCCCTTTTGATTGTATTTCTTTGGACTCTTCGAGCTGTCTCGACTGGCGATGTATGATCACGGGCTTTTCAAACAAGTATATACTACTGGTAATAGCTACTCTCAGCAAGTGGGGCCTGTAGATGAGGAGAGAGTGAGAACTTGTGACAATCCTAATGCAAGTGTTTAGCTCCAAACCATCTCAGCTGTGGCTGTGGTGTTGCGTGTGATTTGTAATATCTCAATCCATCATCTCTGTTACCCTCCGGAACTATTCAAACCCCGCAACTCATTCGGCCCGTCCAGATTCACGTTTTGTTATGAAGTCGGGTTGGGTTTCGTGAATCAGGCGTCCCACCAGATCGGTCTTGAGTCCTTTGGACTACAAGGAGGCGTATCATAAAGTCCTTGCTGCTCTTAACAAAGAGTCAACGGAATGACTTTTAGCGAGGGATCTTGCCTTGATCCACCATTCAAACCATACAAGGACTAGAAAATACAACTACTTAGCAAATCACACGTGTTTTGGGCTGAAGTTGCCCATATTGTCAAATCAAGTGTCCAGCAAGCATGAAAAAAATAGTATTTCCTAAATGAGACAGGCATGCTTCAACGGCCGTCCATGGTCTCACAGAGTATTGCATTGAGCAAAGCCAAGGACTGCTACGGGGTCAATAGGGTCCTCTGCCGGTTCTCCTACTTCCACGTTCTGGAGAGACTCTCCTGACGGGTCGAAGAACTCGCAGCGCACTCTCGCAAACGCATGATCAAACGGTGGGGTGATCACCACGCCCTCTACCGCCTTTGAAGAATCTGTCCGTAGTGTTAGTCGGGAAAACATACACCTATGTAGCAAGGAAGCTTATGTCTCGAGTTTCGTCCCACAGCCAATTCAGGAATGCATACCAATCTTCACTTTGTCTGGCTGATCAGGCACAAAGAATGGTGCTGACTGTGTCTTGTCTGCGAAGTTCAGAGAGAGTTGGATATCGGCTGCGCTGGCGATCCCTGCGAGCAGGATAGCTACACGGGCACGCATCTTGACTAGTTGCGTTTAGACTGCAGTGAAATCGGTAATCGATAGCCAAAAGTTGACAGTTCTGAGGATCTTGTCGTCCAAACTATAAGACAATGGCGATGGTTGAGCTTGTCAACGCTTTAGGGGCGAACAGCCTTACCTTTATATATTCCAATTGTACGCTCCCAGCTGGATCCATTGTAAGCATTATCTCAGCCTGCATGCAACGCAAGCGTTGAGTTCTTGTGGTGTACTACCTGCCTAATTCCGACTGACTCAATTTCCGTTTATGGACAAACTGCCACCAAGGTGTCAGGCCAAGATCATGAGATTTATTAGCCATTTTCGCAACTTGAACTGTTCCCGGTGGTGGATAAAAGTCATATGCGAGGTTACTCTCCAAGAACCATTCTGTTGGCTTCTTTAAGGACCCGATCTCACCAACATTGGCGAAGACGACTAGGACCTTTGGGTACATGTTTTCACAAATGTGAACCTTGAATATCAAGAACAAATGGCGCTTCTGAATGACGAAAAAAAGATGGTGCCCCTTATACGAGGACTCTTGATTTCAGTGTATAACTATCTATCTATATATACTGATCTAAGATGCGCAAGGACGTTTTGTTACCTTTTCCTTCTACAGCCTGATTAATTCTTATAAGCTACTCTTCACAAATGTTTCAAATATCGACGACAAACGAAGGTTTTTTTTCACTTGAAAGGCAAAAGAAAAGAAAAGAAAAGAGAGAGAGAGAGAGAGGCTGTACATCGGCCTAAATTCTGGTCTTCACAACCTTGATGATACATTGCCTTGCCACCGATTGTGCTATTGAAGTGCTTCCCTCTGGCTGATTCTCCTAGGATTAGCCCCTTTGCAAGTTGTTTATGTAAAAGTCTCAAGAAATCCAATGTACCTTTTTTGTCTGTTTATTAAACGGCCATAGAGTCTTGTACTTTGTCTAAGTCTCCAAGACTTCATAGGCTAGCAAGATTGGTAGGTGGGATACATTGTCATCTCAATGTGACCTACTGATTTTTAGTACCAGCAAAAATATGCTTGGTTTGGAATGAAGGCTATAACCATTTCATGCTCGCGATTTTACATGAGAACATTGATATACAGACATGCCGACACATGCGAACACCGGTGTAGATATTATGGATTATTGTAGGTTATTGTGCTTCTGTACAATTTAGCTTCCTCAGATCAAAAACATTCTTGTAAAACTCCAACCGCTTCTGTGCCAATCATCTCTAAAGGTTACCTGCGCCGCCATCAATGCCATAATCCGCCCCAACAACCCAGACTGAATCGTCCGAGGCCAGGAACAGAGCCAGCTCAGCTACCTCTTCGGCAGTGCCCAGTCGTTTGCTTGGGTTGATATTGAGGTGGAGGCTCTTTTTAGCGGCGCCATCGTCATCGGCATGCCGCCCAAAGAACTCGGTGTCAATGGGACTGGGGCTGATGGTGTTGACGCGAATCCCGCGATCCAGCAGCTCCGCGCTCAGCGTACAGCCAGGCTTCGTATCGCTGCTTTGATGGCCGCTGTGATGTTGGTGTTTGGCCACCCTTTGCCGGCCACGACGGAGCCATTGATCAAAACTGAAGCCCCGGGCCGTAAGAGCGGGACGGCTTTCTGGATGCTGAAAAAGGTGGACTTGAAGTTGGCACCGATGTGATCGTCGAATGATTCCTCTGTGACGCTGAGAAACGGCTTGAACTGGCTCCATCCGGCATTGCAGAACAGAATGTCCAAGCCACCGAATTGGACCTGGATTTGAGCAAAGACCCGGTCGAGATCCTCGAGGCGGCTCACGTCGGTCTGGATAGTGACTGCGCCCCCTAAAATCAGGTTGGCAGCAGCTTTGAGCGTCTCCAGATTGCGGCCGCAGATTGCTACTCTTGCGCCCTCTCTTGCGAAAGCTTGTGCCGAGGCCAGGTCGATCCCGGCGCCGCCACCGGTTACCAGAGCGACCTTTCCTTGCAGTCTCCCCATGCTTTACGAGTCACTTGGGCTGTTTGTTGTGCGAAAATTGTTGTGACACACATGTCTGAATGCTGTCTAGATACTGGCAGGTACATGTATGTATATATATATATATATATATATATATATATGCCTTTACATCGCGGAGCACAATCAACATATCTAAAAGAAACGAGCTTATTCACAGTCAGCATGCTTATCAAGCAATTCAATCTTTGTGGCCTCTGGATTTGGGTGGCATTTGTCAAACTCGAGACGCCATCTCGGATCTTAATTATATGGATTACTGAGCTTGACAAGACATGGTATCGTCCGGATTGGCTTTTGGCTCGGTACGGGTAGGCAGGTTAGCCCTGTTGAGAGTTGGCACTCAGCAGGCGGCGTAATTATTGCGGTGGCTGTTGACGCATCGCCATCGTCGTATCGCTAGAGCACGGAATACATGTATGATACGCTGTGGTCTCCTGGTCTCCAAAGCACATCGGGATTGTCCGCAGCTCAGCGACAAACCCGTTGGCGGCGGCAAAAAGCCTAGCGCCCGGCCTAGCCTCCGTCAAAGCTGTTGCAGTTCATGTTGCCAAAGTACAGTTGCCCAATTGTGGTTAGAGAGACAGCGCTGAAAGGGCGTGGCTCGACATATCGCCTGCACAAAGCCGTCTTCAATACATGTACCCACTGGATATGAGCTCATAGCCCTCGATGCTTCTTGGTGGGACTTGTGTTGATGTCCCGCAGACCCAGCTAGCACAAGACTACTTGTATTTATAAGCTGTTGTGCACATGTGCGGAGAATCACACTTTATTCCAAAAACCCTTTGCATACTTGTACTTGGCAGGTCTGTTGCAGTCGTTTGCAATCTTCAAGGCACGAAAGTCCCAGCAATCCCCTGCCATGGATACCGAGACACGCACCACCCGCTTTCGAATCATGCGGTTCTATCTTGACAATGGCCGCCCCCCAACGCTGGAAGAGCTGACCAAGAGTATGGATCTGGCTCCTGAGACTGTCTGGAAATCCCTGAAGCAGCTGGAAGATCTGCATCATTTGGTGCTTTATAAAGAAGGAGTACCTTCACCTACACCGATTGCCATGATACATCCTTTTTCCCATCTGTAAGACATACGCCCTCAGTTAAGGTGTGGATGCTAAAATTGTTCAAGTCCTACAGCATATCATCTTGTGAGCAGCAAAGATCTCGATCGTTTCCCCGAAATGACACGGCTAACCTTTTAAAAACCACAGCAATGTGGCGACCGGAGTTGGTGGGCGAATTGCCCCTGGTGTGGGTTTGGCCTGGTATCAATGCTCCTTCGCGAGAATGCCAAGTCATCAATCATTCTACGAGTGTTGTCAGGCTCACGCAACGATGAGCTGCAGATTGAATGGCGGAATGGCGAAATGGTCACCACTGGCTGCAAAGATTACGTGGCTCACTTCTCAGTCCCCCCTTCGAAATTCTGGATCGACGTCCGTTACACATGCTCAACCATTCAGCTTTTCCAATCGGAAATCCGGGCCGAATCATGGGTAAGTCAAAGTGCCGGAGATGTAGTTTGATTTTTCTCACATCTAACGAGATTGATTTTCGTAGTTGAGGAAGCATGGCGTCTCAAAGGGAGCCTTGATCTCATTTGAGCAGCTTTTAGAACTGGCAAAGGTAATCTTCTAATCCTGTCTACGCAATAAATACACACATCTAATAGGCGTAGGAATGGTATCACGATAAAGCAGAGTACAGCTATGATCGGAAGTCACCTGAACAGATCCGGGAGCTCTACAACACTCTTGGCATGACGGAGGCCTTCTGGAAGCAATGAACGTGGACCACATTCATCAATGAGTTTGAGTCAACCTATGCCGAGACTCTGAATCTTAAAGTAAGCCATACAGTATCGGGACACTTCGGCCCGTTGCAGTCACTCATGCTTTCCAAGTTTGGTGGAAGACCATTTTTGTCTACTCTAGGGCTATAACTGCTCTAGGTAATGCTGTCTCCAGTAATAACACCTGCGCAGATAGCTTCATGTTGGCAGAATCTGCATCGTAGAGATGAGCTTTGAAAAACTTCTTCATCGATATCTATGTTGCTGACTTTGCAAGAAATAGCAAGGTCGACCTCACGAAATCCTGATATGGACAAAGTATTCTGACGTGCTAGGCCTAGCTGGTGTACTACGCCCAGCTTAGCTGAACTAAGTTCTTGCTTGACGTTCTCTGTCGGCAAAGTGGTTCAAAATTGGAATTGGCCCAAGCCAGCTTCTGAATGAGATTGTAGAGTATAGGCTGATCTTTATCATTCAATCCAGACTCCCTGAGACTCCAGGTTCCAGGTTATGAACCATGTTGTAAAGTCCACGTACGGTTGATATAAGCTAAAGTTGCGTGTGTTCTACAACTTCAGCAGACTTACTCAATTGTGATTGTTAATCATTGTTCTTTATTACATCAAGTATACACGTACCCGGGAGGAAGCCGCCTATATGGATATTCTTCTCATCAGCTGTAGTGCGTACCGCACCGTTGCCCCTGCATTTTTGGCAAAGGCATACTTTCATCGCACTTTAAGCAGAATGTCGGTCAAGTAGAAGCTTTGAAACATCAAAGTCGGACCGCATTCTGTCATGGCTGACCTTTGTCTTCTTAGCCTACAGAGCTTCTTCACGGGTGCACTGCCCGTCGTAGGAGAATCTCAAACCCGACTAAAAGGGTATGCTGTCACAATTATCGGATTTGATGATGATGCGGGCCAAAATATCTGCCATCTCTCCTTGGCGTTCTCGCGAATCTGGATGTTGTCTAACAAAGCCTAGTCGCGAGACCTTGTCCCCTGTGATTCGCAGGATTAGGCAAGTTCAGCATCTGCCACCTTTCTTTAATCAAAGATACACCACAGCAACTAAGTCTTCTGAAAGTCTTGATTTGTCTGGCTGTTGCTTGATGTGCGAGACATACGGATATAATCGAAATCTAGCTGCCGAGGACATGAAGGCTAGTGATGAGAAATGGCTGAAACTGACCATGTTAGAAGACAGAGATCAGATAGAGTAAGTTGAGGTTACGAAAATAATTTGCAAGCATAACTCACAACTCTCATATTACTGCTATATCATTGCGGTCTATGCTGTAACGCCAAGATAAAACAACTGCATTCTAATCCGCCCCTTCTTTAACACTTGCATCGTGGATTAACCCCTCAGATATTTAATTCTTTCCTTTTCTTTGAAGGAAAAACGGTGGGTGGAAAGGATCCTTGAAAGAGTTGAAAGACTTTTCCCCCAAGGTCTGCCAAGGTCTGCCGCCCAAGTTATTCTGCAACTCTCTTGTTTCACAAAACACCATGACAAATTTAACAACTCTTGCTCCCAGCCAACGGTGTTGGTGAAGAGTTTGTCGTTTTGCCCGCTTCTAGGGTAGGCCATCAGCTTCGAGCCCCAAGACCCCAAGATGCGAAGTCGGGCAAGGAAGATTATGTTGATCGTCGCTCTGCTGTCAACGCTCTTCATCACTTCCCTAAAATACGACATTACTCAACAATGCTGCTACAATCACCAGAGAATTGCACTCAGCGTCTAGCTATGCTTGTATTGGGGGGTTCTTTATTGCTGGCGCAGCGCAGTCAGCAGAGGTATTTGGACCAAGCTGTCCGATATTTGGGGCCGAAAGCTCTTCTTACTCTGTGCAGTTGCTGGTTGCTTCGTCATTTCCATCATTTGAGCGCTCTCCGCCAGCATTATTATGCTGATCGTAGGTCACACTTTGTAGGAGTCTCAGCTGGTAGACTGAAACAGCTCCTTTCCATCATTCAGGCCTCTTCAGCATGCGCCACAGGTCACTGTACATTGGGCTCCTCGAGGTCGTATGGGAAGTGACTGGAGGTGTTCTTGTTCATCATGCGCCCTGGCGTTGGGATATTCTGGATCATCCTACCGTCTCTGAGCTGTCGCTTTTGACATCTACAACCCACGGACTGGTCTCAGAGAAACCCTCATGACCGTCGATTGGGCAGGCAGCATCACAATGCTCGGTTTCCTGCTCATGACTGCTTCTGGGGTTATAGATTGGCGGAGCCGAGTTCGCTTGGGACTCACATACAGTCACCTGTCTCATTGTATTTGGCGGAATGATGAGCGCTGTCTTTGTCTCTTGTGAGAAGAGGCTGGCTCGATATACCGTCAAACCGCTCAGACTTTCACCAGCAAGTCGAACCTTGCTGTTCTCTTCATCACCTTCTCTCATGCATTTGCGCTCTTTCCATCGAGTACTATTTGCCATTTTTCTTTGAGTCAGCCAAAGTGGCATCACCAACTACTTTGCACTTACAACATATCTCTCTGGATTTTGCACCGGCTTATCCATTGATAAAACGGGACGTTACGTCGAGCTTTTCTGGGTTGGCCAGGGACTTTTAGTTGCAGGGCTGGGTCTTTTCACTCATTTAGATGCAAGTGCTTGTATTGCGCAGCTTTGTGGCGTTCAAGTACTGGCCGCAACTGGCTTGGGGATGCTCTTTGCCCTTCCCTTGATCTCGCTGCAGGCGAGTTGCCCTCAGAGCCAAACTGCAAAAGCGACTGCGACCATCACGTTAGTCAGGAGTATTACCACGGCCCTGGCGGTTGTTGGTGGTCAAGTAATCTTCTAGAACGGGATGCGAGCGCGTCAAGGTCAGATTGCAGCTATCGGCCTGCCATGTATTTTTAGTAATGCCTTTACCGGGGACGAAGCTGCGGTGAACATTGCACTCGTCGGGGGATTTCCCATCCGGTCCAGCGTTTACTGATTCAAGGTGTGTTCGCCCAGAGCTTGAGAAATGTCTGGGGTCTTGGATGCTTGTCTCTTAGGCGTCGGGTTTACAGTAAGCTCATTTATGAAAAAGAAGAAGCTGAGTAGAGAGCATGTCGAGACAAAAACAGGACTGGACAACACCAGTGGATAGGGCATGCTGCGGCATAGATTTATAAGTGCTCAGCCATCTTTCGTACGCTTTCCCGAGAAACAAATGGCTTGAATGAAGTTATCAAGATAAGGCTGATGCCTACCTTTGGCCTTGCAGCAATTGAGGCGCAAGGTTGCAGCTACACCTGTTGCGCTTTCTTGCTGGTCCTACCAAGGAAGAAATGAACTTGGCTAGCCTTTTTTCCATTTTAATATCGCTTCCCTTACCTTGGGCAAAGAAAAAACGTATTTGTTATTTTGTGATTTATAATGCCTTAAAGCTACGTTCCATTTCGTTTCTTATCAGGTCCATGGGAGATGATAAATGGGATGGAGAATTGCGGGATGGATTTGGGTTAGCGAGGCCATGAACCCCTGTTCGTGGTTTTCTTAGTTAATCTTTGATGGGCTTAGTATGCTATGGTATTGAGAAATTGTGCCAATGCCATTTCTGTAGCGCTATCAATACTAGCTGTACTTTGTGTTAGCGAGCTGACCCCAGGACGAAAATAAAGACGAAAATAAAGAAGTAAAAGAACGAGTGGTATGCAATTTGAAACGCAATAATGATGGGGCGACAAGTTCTTTTTTGGGATGTTTTAGTTTTTCTTGGCAGTAGCAGCAGTATATACGAGCTTTTGGTGTTTCATGATGAGGGGGTGGTTGGGGGTTTGAGATGAGACATGTTTGAGGTATGGGATTGTGTTTCTGGTTTTTGATCTTCTGGGGGCGGCTCGGAATTGAGCACTGAGCTATGGATGTTTAAAGTCGTTCGGTGTTTAGAAAAGAGTCAAGGCACGGAGTGAGATGCTGCTACCTGCTACTAGTAGTAGCAATGTTTTAATACGAGGTTATTTTCACCAATATGTAAAACACGTCTAGAAGATGGGAGGAGAGGGCGCTGCAAGGGGGTGAAGATGGCTTCGTTCTCCCTTGCATACAGCACGTGCAAGGGAAAAGTTGAATGTTAATTTGGTTGCTTTCCTTGAATTGCTATCAATCGTGATTTTTGCCTGCTGATTGGTGTAGATGGGGAGATGGACTGAGGCAAGGGAGGGAATGCGAGGCTGTATGGAGATGGTGGTGAGAAGCTGTCATTGCGGAAGCTGGCGGCCAAGGTGGTATTGCGAGTAATCGAGTCAGGCCACTGTTTTGTCCAGGCGGTAGATGATGGTCGACTGCATACCAAATAATTTGTACATGGAGAACATCAACATGACAGGGCAACTCATCACTCGAGCTTCTATCAATTGAGCCTCGATCTTGCAGATATCAATGCCTAGCTACTAGATACCATATCCAGCCCCCAGTAGAGCCGCGGGTGAAGCAGGTCCCGTCCCTTAGCATTGCTACCCTCAGCTCGCCCAGCCGTTGCCTCTATCCGCGTATCGCTGCCGCAGACTGGCAGAACTGGCCTGCCATCGCCATCATCCTTACACGCAGATATGATGTACCCTTTTTCTTCAAGTTCGTTCCCCTTCTGCTCAGCCACAGAAAACAGGAGGTTTTCCATGTGGGGGACTAGGCCTCTTTGCGGCTAGCGGCGCGCGCTGCCCTGGCCCAGGCAAAAACGGCTGCTTGGAATAGAAAACGGCGTTTGCAGATACCCAGGCCGCGGCGGCGTTATGGGCAGCTACAAGCTGCTGGGCTGGAGTTTATAGTGGACTTGCAGGCGGCTAGCAGCAGCCCCCAGGGCCCTTTTTCGTGGTCCAGTGGCTTGCCTGCCGGGTAGCGGTACGTGGCCTGCTGCTGTTTTCAGGTAGCCGCACTGGTACCGGGACCTGTGGCTGCTCTGCCTGTGCCTGTGCCGGCGCCCGCACCTGTGCCTGTCGGCTGGCATTTATTGGCCGAGATTTGACACTCGGGCTTGTTGCCAAAGTCCAACGCGAAGGCTCCCAGGTTTCGTCTCGGTCCTTGCCTTGCTGCCCCTCCTCGCAGCTTGCAAGCGACGATCGACACTGACCCGGAAACGCTTCTCTTCTCTTGCGTGCTGCGTGTATCGTCATATCCAGCAAAAGATTCTTCTTCTTCTTCTGCTGCTGCTGCTGCTGCTGCTTCCTTCTTCCTTGTCCAACCGCTGACCCTGTCCGCACCCATCGCCCAGTTAGCCGCCCGCTGGCGCTTCTGCTCGCCTCCGCACGCCCTGCTCTCCTCGTGGTGCCTCAATTCCTCCTACACAGCCCGCATTCCCTGAAGCAAAGGTTGACGCCGCGAAAACAACCGTCCATCTCGAACAAGATCGCTTTCGCTGTCGAATACCGTGTCGGCGGAGGGCCAAAAAGCGGTCCAAGGGAGGAGACACAGAGAGAGAGCGAAAAAGAGAATCTAAATAGGGGAGGACACTGCGCCTGCACGAAGGAACGAACACACGAGCGACCAAGAGGCGCTGGCCACGGACCTCCTGCTGCCGCCGCGTCTGCCCGAGATGATGAGCTTTGAAGGAGGCACGGGCTACGCCGAGTCGGACGCTGACGACGAGTATGAGCACCTGGGCGACCACTCGCCCGTGGGCGACTCCGAGACATCGCCTATAGGCTCTGAGCTGTCGACGTCTGCAGAGCATACGCCCACGACATACGGCCATCGCAGCAGCATGGACCGTCTGCCCGAGACCATCGTCACCGAGTGGACGGCGGAGGAGTGCGCCGACTTTATCAGCGCCATCGGACTGCCGCAGTATGCCGACACGTTTCTAGGTATGTTTTTGACCATGGCAGGACGACGGGGCTGGGAGCCATTTAGCTGATTGCGGGGCGCGTCTTTTACAGAAAACGACATTGTTGGCGAGGCCCTGGTTGCTCTGCTACACGACGATCTCAAGAGCATGGGCATCGCTAGTGTTGGTCACCGTCTAACAATCCTCAAGAGCGTCTACGACGTCAAAAAGGCTCAGGATATCCCAATTGAGAGCGACCAATATCTGCCACTCTGTAAGTCCCCAAGATCTCCAAGTTTCTGCACAAACCAGGGCTGGTTAACCAGCTGACCTTTTTCTCTCTCATGATTTGTAGCCGCCGATGCCGAAGCTCAATATTCTACTGCAACACTCAAAGATATCAAACGTCTGGTGGACCAGCTGCGGCTGCGAGACGAGCGGATGAGCCTCCTAGAGCAAGACCTGCGGCGCATGAACGAAGACTTCAAGCGCCTCAGAGAAGATATGCTGCCGGCATTGCGGCTCGTCAAAGATGCCCAGCACCCACTGCCAAACGTCAGCGCCCCCGGCCAAGGATACGCATACGAATCCACCCTCTCTCCGCCCGCACCGACACCGCCCGGAGCCCAGCCCGGCGACAAAGGCATCAAGCGACAGTATTCCCAACGACGAATCTTGATTGGAGCGACGCCGAAGAACAACTCTCCGACACAAGCCACGCACGACCAGCGAATGATGTCGGAGCAGACGCTGGATCCATCCAGCGCGGCCGAGAGGGCAGTCATGTCATCGTCGCACCTGGCGGCCATGAATGGCGGCAGCCAATCCGCCTCTGCCACAAATTACGCTTCGGCCTCAAACTATCCCTGGCCAGCCGTACCATCACCCACATCGCCGCAGAATCACCTGAGCGGAACCACCTTGGGATCTCGAACTTACAACTCTACCACCACACCTTCCGTAAGGACGACATTTGTCGATTCCGATCTCAACTACAATTCACGAGATAACAAGCTCACTTCCGGGTCGATTCGACGTCGCGAAACGCCCGTCCCCGAGACGCCAGGCTCAAATAGCTCCGTCGAAATCTTCAAGTCGTTTAGAGTGGAAATGGACGATCCGTGCCACAAGGTGCTACCGGCCGCGCTGAAGAAGTATCAAATCAATGCGCCCTGGGACCAGTATGCCCTTTACATCGTCTACGGAGACCAGGAGCGTTGTCTCGGCATGGATGAGAAGCCCCTGATCCTGTTTAAGCAGCTGGATAAGGAGGGCAAGAAGCCCATGTTTATGCTGCGCAAGATTAACAGCGCCCAGACGGATGGTGGCATGGGCATGGATCCGGCTAGAGGAGCTACGCCATATGACCCGCCGGGAGGCATCATCTAAAGAGGAGACAACTCTTGACTTACTACTCATACTTGTTTTACTATTCGCCAACGGGGTCTTGCTTTTGGAACCTGGATGATACGGCGATATATATTTTTGGGGCGCATTATGGAGTTGGTAGGGAAAAAGGGAGAAATCTGGCCGCGGCGAAAGCGAGCATGGATAGAGAGGATTTGTCTAGTCATACTCTGCGGCCTATGTCCTGACTGCAAGCTTCTGTTAAGGGCAGCTGGTTTATGTTTAGGTCATTGATGCATGAGCGTAAGTTTTGCGTTCTACCATTACTACTCGCCTGGCGAGGCCGACTGCTGCTGCACCGGCAAGCTCATAGGAGCCAAAGGGGTGACCTGATGCTTCTATATAATGGGCTTGTGACATTTGGAAGATGATGCAGAGACCTGAAGCCAGGTGAACGGACTATAATGGAGGATCCGACCGACAGAGCTCCCAACATGGACTCTTTTGATCTGTATGATCATGTTGACACAACTGTACTCTGGGCGACATATTTGGTTCTTGATTTTGAATACGCTGGGCACCTGTGCGTAGATATATATACACATTTGGTGGACAGGGGGAGAGGGAAACAAAGGCAAGGGGAAACAAACAAGCAAACAAACAAACACGGTGGAATTGTTTATTTTGATGTACAATAGCAGATCTGGGAAACAAAACACGGAAGGACTAGGGGGATATGTGATTTTTTAATCGTTTTCTTTTCCCTTGATGAGGTGTGGGTTATAAGTGAAGATGTGTGATGGGCAATTGGAACCTTGTAGTATTATAACATTGTGTGATTATGTTGACACTCAATGCTGAGTTTCTTCGAATTTGTGACCTACTTTTTTTTTCTTTTTTTGAAAGTACTAGTAAAACTGGATGAGTGTTTCAAAAGGCTTGCTTTTGGGCCTATGATAATGAGAACGTAAGTTTCTGATTCGGTAGAGTATATGCTATTTTTACTTTGTCACAAATATATTATATATTGATATTATCTGATTAAAGTATGCTATAGCAAGTTCATTTACATAGCAAGTATTTGAAAAATACGTTACAATAAATTGTATTGCGCAGCTAGGTAGTTGCAGCTTTGTACATGTACCCAGTTATCTTCTGGTGCCAGAGAACTCTCTACCCCTCGTTGCTGTATGATTGCAACAAGGCTTACAAATACCTACATAGGTACATACATCTATACATAACAGTTGAACACTATTGCCGACAAATCCTACTTACCTTTATGTAAATGATTTCTCGGATACATGACACGTACACTAAGCTGTATGGCCGCCTCTGGCAATTCAACGAATTACCAAGAGCATATGGAGCTCGGTGACCAGACTGTCATCCAGTCACTTGTTTGCGACAAGTGCTGGAAAACACTATTCGACTTCAAAGGGTTCCAGCAGGCGTGGGAATCAAATGGCTCAACCGAGAGGCTTCATGGCGGGTTCACGTATAGTACGGCCTGGAGTCAACTGACGCAGTCATCCAGCGCCGGCTGCGCCTGGTGCAGGCTCCTCATCGCGGAGATTCCCGAGTATCATTCTTTCGTTACTGGGAATGCGTCCCCAAGCCCTCAGCAGGTATTTAAAGTCAAAGTGCGGTTCAAGCCTTCAGGCGAGGGGAGTTTGCCGGCAAGCCTGACCGATCGCAACACCCTTGTTGTGGAGATTGAGGACTCGTATGTCCAGTTTTACGAAATTCACACTACTATCGGTATGTCTTGTAACTTTTGGCTACTAGGTTGACTTTACTTCATTTTATTGTTCTCTTTGCACTACGGCTTGGTTAACAGCTCACCCTCTCGTGAAGATGATGCTGCAGCTAGATATATCACCGCAAGAGAAATGATGTGGCAAGTCTCTTCACCGGCAACCTTTGTGCACGCTTCCAGGCTCAATTACAGAGTGCGTGGGCGCTCGCCATCCGCTTTGCCCAAGCTTGCGGGCTTCAGATACCGCCCTTCCAACTCGAGTCATTGACTGTGCCGATACAGCAAAGCCGAAGGTGTATGCTACTGCAAATGCTCTTGGGGTCTATGTTGCTCTAAGCTATGTATGGGGAGAGAACCAACCGTATCGAACACAGACCAGTAACATTGAAATGTACAAAGAGGGGATTGATCTTGATCAAATACCGCAGACCATCAGAGACGCAATTCAGGCAACGCAGCTCCTTGGATTCCGATACCTTTGGGTTGATAGCCTCTGTATCATTCAGGACTCCAAGGAAGATAAAAATCGAGAAATACCACAAATCCGCAAGACATTCCAGAATGCAGTGGCGACAATCATTGCGGCGAGCTCGTGCAAGGTCAGCGACGGCTTCCTGCAGGATCGACCAGCGCCTCCTCCGGCTATCCGTTTGCCATTTCTGTGTCCTGATAGCAGCCTTGGTAGTATGTGGATTCGTGGTGCTACTCATAATCCACCGGAGGCCGTTGATACTCGGGCATGGTGTTACGAAGAACGACTCCTTTCTCCTCGCGTGCTGGTGTTTGCATCTAATACCGTGCGGTATGAATGTCGCACCCAGCTGGTAAACGTTGGGCATTCCAATCGTGCGCTGTTCAGTTTCAGTGACAGATTACCGGAGAGCTTGGCGCGGCCTGTTCAACCAACGCCAGTTACAACAGCAGATGTTATTCAGCTTACCGGCGCCTGGGATTCGATAGTTGCGGAGTATACCAAGAGAGATTTAACGCACCCGAGAGACAAGCTCATTGCATTTTATGGGATTTCAGAGACATTTCAGCAGGCATGGAAGAACAGCAAATATCTAGCTGGTCTGTGGAGCCACAGATTGCTCGAAGAACTCTTATGGATGAAGACTTCGCCGCCGCGATATCCACGACCCGAGAAATTTCGTGCCCCGTCGTGGTCGTGGGCAGCAATAGACGGGCCAGTTGTTCCAGGATATTCTCTTCAGGCATTCAACGAAGATGATCCAGAATGTGAGATTCTCGAGTGTGACGTGACTCTGAAAAATACGGCTCTGCCATTTGGCGAAGTTACGGGAGGATTTCTTCGACTCAGCGCTGCGGTGAATGAGGTGATGTGGGATCCGCTCGAAGGAAAAATATTCATGCCGACCACCACCGAAGCTTCGAATGAGGAGAAGTATCAGGATAGAGGTCGAGGCGAGTACTTGGGAATCTGTGAGGCGGATTGCGAAGAGGCGCTGGACCCGGCGGCGAAGGTATGGGCGGTTCCGCTGCGATCAACAAGCCAGACGGCACAAATGATTGAAGGGTTGCTGGTTGTTCGAAGTTTTAGTGACAATGGTGTATTTTGCCGCGTGGGCGCTTTTCAGATTCCTACGGGAAAGCCAAGAAGCGATATTGATATTGCGGCGTGGTTGGCTGTGAAGCGACAGGTTATCACAATAGTATAGATAGGGTCAAGTGTCTTCAACCATCGTAAGTCGAATGGTTCTATTAAGCTTGCTGTCAAATACATGTAGTCATTACATGATCTCATACTGCCAACAGGATCTTTCATCCTATAACAATTGGTGGGCCTGCTCCAGGGGTTGATACTTTAATGCATGGTACTGAACTTGTCTAAGTATTATTACCTATATGTGTCTACTTACTTTTGTACCTATATATATTTACATTCCATATAAAAGTAGTCAATAGGGCCTCCTACAGGAAGATTCTAGCATACACGATTATCCTTTAAAGCAACAACAATAGTGAACTAAACACATTATTGAGTATATAGGTAAATTTTTATCAGGCAAAGCTCGACACCCGAGATACAGTAGTGCCTAGACCCTGTGCGCTGACGACGTATGCATCGACGTCCAGTTGTGGCCGTTGGGCTCTCATGCCTTGAGCCCAACAGCAAAGGTTGCCTAATAGAAGGCGGTCTAGCACAGAGTACATGTATCATCTCCATTCTGTTACAACTATTTATCTGATATTACATGTTAAATTTATTTTTCACTACTTATGTTCTCCTCTTAAGCAAGCAGTTCTCAGCTGCAATCTACATTTAAGTGCTCTTGTCTTAAGCTTCATTGGAAAGAAACTTTAACACAGCGCAGCGTAAAATTCTCATTACCAATGGCGGATACACTTCTCAAGCCTCAGGCAACAGCCAAAAGCCTCGGCGCCTACATGATATTTGAATTGCCTCTTTCCGAATTTCACAACAAGACTCAAATGGTGGATATCAGCCCACTGGCTACCGATGGATGTGTCCGCTTCATCGACTGCGTGGCTCTAACAACAAGCAATATTCTAAGAATATGGGAATTCTCTGAATCACCTCTGGAAGAGTATAGCCGCTTTATTAGTTGGCCGACATTCAAATATACTGCAATATCCTACGTTTGGAGGGGTAATCTTGCCAGTTCTGAAAACGACTCATTTGAAAACAAGTTCGGGTATCTTACTGTTCGTGGAGCAGAAGATGCCGAACCCATTTCAGTCAATGTGTTACGTGCTGCCTGCTTTGCATCGTTGGGAGATGATGATGGGCGGCCTTATACTCAACGGATGATTTCGAGGGCCGAGTACATCTGGCTAGACCAGCTTTGCATTATCCAAACGAAGAAATCTGACAACAATCTACAAATATCACAAATGTATCACATATACAAGTGCTGTACGCAGTGTTTGGTTCTCCCCGGGGGACTTTGGCGGCTTACGCGACTTGACGAAGAGACTAGCTGGGCAAATCGAGCATGGACATTACAAGAATGTTTAGTACCCAAGTATCCAATGGTCCTTTTCGCGTGGACCATGAATACAGGTAAACTTTTGGGCATAACCTCCTGCTGGGTGAGAGAGGTCGAGGGTACCGGCGGTGCTCTTGCAAGACTCAAGGACATCATTTCCGGATGTCTTGGTAAGCCAATGGTTTTCATTACACGTTCGATTGATGATTCGTCATCCTTGGAATATGAGAATATTGATATCGCGAGAGAAACTGCTTTCGATATTAGAGTCTTCGGGAAAGATCATGCAGATCTATACGCCCTTAGAAAAGTACGACTAAACTTCCAGAATTCTAGCGAATCCACTGATCCATACAAAACAAGGCGATGCTATTCTCTCATCTGGCAATGCGCACTTATGCGTACTTCATCTCGTCCCGTGGATATGGTCTTCAGTATTATGCGACTAATGGGTGTTGAGCTGAATCCTAAAGACTTTAATGAAAACGATCGTATGGGCGCTACAATTGCACTGATGGCCATGATACTCGAAAAGAGTGGAAGCGCAGACTGGCTTGGGATGCCTTCCAAATTCCCGCTCTGCCCACAGCTATCTACATTTCCGCAGTTTGCAAGAACCGACGTTTCTGGCGGAGTGAACTACTCAGTCTTGGGCCATTGGCGTGCTGGAAGGTCGTTGAACGACTGGATCTGCGCCGATACGAGTTGGAATAGTGAAGAAGAATGGAAATGGCAGAGATTGCACGGAAGAATGAGCACCGACGGGTACCTGATGTTCGTACGTAAGGCGTATCGGGTTAGCTTTGCGTCGGCGGAGGCAATACGTGAAGCTGAATATGCACATGTCTTTGACTGGCCGTTGATCGGAGACATGGAAGGAACGTTATGGAAATTCCAAGAAGACTATGATGCATTGGCACAAGATCCAGCCATTATGGCGATCCCTCTATGGGAATTCCGAGAAATTCATCTGGAAAAAGGGGACCAGATAGAGGATTTCCAATTTTCCATCTCGGGCATCAAGTTGATGATTGTCAAGGAGCAATCTGCTGGAAAATTTTATGTTGTGTCATATTGTTTCGTTGCTGATAAGGAGCATAAATGGAGATCGAGAATTCTCGACTGGCCAGATTATACGTTTAAGGTTGGTGGCCCAGAGCCATTGATGCGTCATCAAGAGCTGGCAGATGAATAGGTAGTCAATTAGATGAATAAAAATTAAAAATTAAAATAGAAATTTTAGTAATTGCATTCATTATTTTTGTTGTTGTTGGTAATGTCCAGTGGATTTTATTCATGCATTCAATCTTCTGAAGAAGCTGACAACATAATGCGCGTTTATCTATGTTGACCTCGTTCATCAGGGGATAGCTCAAAACACAACATTCAACAGAGTAGACCTTCACTGTATACTCTGCATTATGTTACTAATTAGTCAATTTTTGTTGGGGTTGATCATAACGCAGCTTGTCCTGTTGCAACGAGAGGTATTTCGTTCAGACAACTCGGGTGAACTTGGGAGGCCTGTGCAAGGCCCCTCGCCTCTCCGCTTTTCCTCTCTTTTCCTTCGTCTTCTCTTCGTCCTCTATCTTTTCCCCCGCCTGTTCCTTGTTGTTCGCTTCCACCTTTTTTCCCACTTTTATAATCCGCTCTCAACTTATCAAGTATTGTTTTCCTCGTATCTTTTCCCCTTTCCGCATCGCAATCCCACCATGTCTTCTCATCTTCCCGTAGCTGACCTGGAAAGAATTCGTCTCGAAGTGCTTTGCCCCAGCCCTTATGTTTCGACTCCAGTTCCATCAGCGACCACATAACTTTGAACTCGGCATATATCTCTTTACCGCTGGACTTGGTCTCTTTCAACCTGATTGGTATTCCCATGGCCTCAGGTTGACGGGGTACAGCCGCTACAATGATATTGTGCAGTATACCAATTCCACCGACAGCAAGGAGATACCATGTATGAGACTGGATGCCAGTACAAGTGACTAGTAGAACTAGCCACAGTATTGACAACGCAAGGGTAAGGTAGCGTGTTGAGGGCATTACGGATGCGCGGCCGGCAGCAAGGTCTTCCAAATCGAGCATATCTTTGACGCCATCGATAGGCTTATTCACGATATCACCGTTAAGTTTAGTCTCGAGACTATTGTCAGGCATATTCTCGATGCCATTGATAATGATGACATGTAGCGCTCCATTGCCTTCTGTAAGTGCCACAGGTTTGGCTTTGTTGGACTTGCGAGCCTTCCACTTCTCTTCCCGCCATTGTGGCAACGATGCCGATGAATAAGATAATATAGTCCCAGCAACTGTAGCGAGCAGAATTGCCCAATCGCCGAAGAGACTAAGAGGTATAACAGCGACAACAAGCTGAATTAACGAGACGAAGTAGCCACTCCACCATGCCAAATCGCGTCTTGGGGCTGCAGCCTCGAGATCTTCCCGCCATTCATACACTGCGATACAGAGAGCAGAGAGATGTCCAGCTGATGTCAATACAGGTGGCGTGGGGTCGTGATTCTGCTCAGTATCTCCTCTCCTTTTCTGCGCCGAAGGATTCACCTTGTCCCGTACCTCGTCAGGCATCCAGTATTCGTACGTTTTAACCAACCGGCCGAGTAGCCATGATCTGTTGGATCGACGATACCCCGAGTCAAGGTTGATAACTAGCAACGGCACCTCTGGCTGGCAGGTGATGAGCCTGTTCTCCCCAATGGCCGAGAGAAGGGCAGAAACCGCATAGGCCACCCAGCCAAAGGAAAAGGTAACTGGATTAGGCGGTATGCTTGTGCCGCCCGCCATGGCAGCGCATGCGAGTTGTATCACATCGCCACCGAGAATGAGGAGCACTGAGAAGATATCATTTGGTCTGATCCACTGGTCAGCGAACTCTTCACTGGACTTTTGATATGATCGTGGCATAGCTTAACGAGCGTTAGATACCGAGGTGATTTTGAATAAAGTGGTGTTTTACGCCAGGGCTAGAAGTGGCCGGGTGATGGAGGTGACATTTTATTTTCTCTCGCCTATGCCACAGCCTTGCCGGGCGCAGCTCTCGTGATCAATGATTATATCATAGGAATTGGCCAATTATTAAAGACTAGTACAAAGGTTACGCGGACTGATCGCTCACTCTACATAAATTGAATAGACTTCTCTGTGATTAGGCTGAACAGTGTCTAGGTATATACTTGACATCTCACGATAGAGTTGTCAGTAGGATCGCTTACATTGGTTCTTCTTGATATGACTTCTACGCCTACGAACTCAATATACCGCTACCAAAAACGGTCAGATTCGTTGTTACTAAGGCTAATCATTGCGGCATTCACTTACCTTTTAATGCATGAATAACTGTGACAAAAGACTTTGAGTACAAGCTCACTGCACAGCATTATCTTCATCCCTTGACAACATCGACCAGGGATATAGGGCAGGCCCGAACAGACACTCATGGTTTTATGTAATTCGTCTATAGACTCCATACAGCAGGGCAGCTCGAAATTGAGAGCTTATTACACACCAATGGGTTATGAATATAGAAAAACTCAATCACCAAAATTTCCAAACGCACCATTACTTGGACAATCGATTGCCCCTCTTATGTGGCTTGCAGCGCTTACTGTTTTAAGGAATGTCAAGTTAGCATTTATAAGTGATGTACTTTGAAGTAGCTGATCAATTGAGTCCAGTATACGGCGTTGCATCCCAGCAAGAGTGGCAGCAGCCCAATCGATGCAAGACACATGGAACTGGGCTTTTTGTTGAGACTCGCCGGATACTCGCGCATATTTGCAGCCGACACGGGCACAATACGACCCTGCACATGGACGAATATAGCAGGAGGAAGTGGACAGTCTTAGCTCCATGGGCTCGCTGTTTTTATTCTTGACCATAGAAGCTGAAATCTAATGATATCCGTGGAGACACTCGTGACCCAATCATCGTCGTTTTCGGTGAGTTATGGGTGATGGGACTGCCATGACTGGGCAAACCACGACAGTAGAGTGGATCAGGCTTCCAATACGTCGCAAGGCTCTGTTAATTTGCGCAAGTTATCCCACAATTTCAAATGAAGTATGCTCTTCTGCAGACATATAGCCCAGGAGAGTGGGGAAAATGTCTTGTTCTGAGTTGGCTTCTGTGACTGCTCCAATCCGTCAGGCAGCATTCGACCTGTGGGCTGTCTCTGTGCCTGAAATATTGGAGTTCTCATGGCTGCCCCAAACTGATGCCGGTTTTCTAGCCGTTATTAGTTACATAATGATAAATAATAACGGAAATTACACTGTTAATAATAACTGTGAGAATAAGACATGAGGGCAGCTAAGGGTTGTTGTAACTGTATGTGGGTACATGTATATATTACGCACTCCTCCATTGAACCAAAATTCGTGGAAATGATAGTATTTTCAATAAAACATCTGGGCCGTCTCTTATGGACTAAAAGACTTTAATTCCTGAAGAATAATTTTTGAGTAAGTTCATACTATGAATCCCTGTTCACTTCACGAAAAGAATTCCGAGGTCGCTTTCAGCCGAGGTCGCTTTCAGCAGGCTCACTAAGAATACGAGAGAATTAGCTAGCGTTTCTCTACGCGGCCATTCTAGTAAAGGCTTCACATTATCACCAGAAGGAAAACTGCTAAGCGTGAATACATAGCGAGCTGTGGTTGATAGACGGGACTGAGCAAAGGTGTACATCACATTGGTCGCATGGATACCCTGAATGCGGATGCTGCACGCTCGCTGGTATGCGATAAGTGTTGGAATGGCTTCTTTGCACGCGCGAATTTCCGAAGTGCCTGGGAAAGTCCAGGTACATTGCGCGAGCCAGAGTTAAGATGTTATAATTATACCTCTAGATGGAGCGAGATTGATGCATCGCGCCAAGCCGGCTGTAACTGGTGCTCTTTGCTGCTGAGTTCTGCTAAAGGCGACGCCGATGGATATCCGATTTCTTCAATGACCCTCAAGATTCAGGTATCGTTCGAGCCGCCATTTTACGCTGGAAAGGATATCATTGGAGCACAGCATGTCAGGATTCGGGTGGACGATTCGCTGGGCGGCCATGAATTCCGTTGGCCCATATATACGAGTCTACGTTCGTCCGTTTGAAAGCCGCGAACTCTTCTTTGCTTCTGAATGTTTTGCTAACTCAGTAGACAACTAGATGATTCATGTGCTGATGAAGTGTTAGCCCGAGACAGATTACGCCGGATGAAATCGACAGAGACATGCAGCTTGGCCTTGGATCGCCTATCTCAATGCCTCAACAATCACAGCGAGTGTCTTAAGCCGGTCCAAAATAGATTGCTTCCCACTCGTGTCATTGATTGCACAGACCCGGAACGGCCGAAATTGTATCTCACGGGCGGCAGTACTCTAGGATCTTATGTTGCGCTCAGTTATGTATGGGGCGAGGATCAGCCAAATAAAACAAGAGAATGCAATTTGGGTCAATATAGCCAGGCCATTGAGGCTCATCTGCTTCCCCAGACAGCTCGGGATGCAATTTGGGTGACAAACACATTCGGAGAAAGATATCTCTGGATCGACGCATTCTGCATCATCCAAGACTCTACAGAGGACAAGCGCCGGGAAATAGCCAAGATTCCGACAATATTTGCTGATGCTTCATTCACTATCATCGCTGCGCGGTCGTTCAAAGCAAGCCAGGGTTTCCTTCACGACTGCCCGCCGCCATCAGTCCTTGTATATCGTCTGCCTTTCCCATGCAGAGATTACCGCGGTTCGTTTGGTACCATGTACGTGGAACAAGACAAGAACAGTGACTACGATGCCAGCGTCGAGATTGATGATCCTGTACATAAACGAGCTTGGTGCCTTGAGGAACGTCTCCTCTCTCCGCGCGCATTTGCGTATACCTCCAGCACTCTTCGATACTACTGTCAGATGAGTCGTATCAACGTCGGTAACGCCGTACGGCAGTTGGATGGCCAAACGACCCGGCGCCTTAACATAGATTGGAAGCCCCAGGTAGATGAAAGACTCTACGATCCAATAACTGAACCAGAGTTAGACCACAACAGGCGCACGAGGCTATGGGATAACATCTTACACAATTACAGCGGCCGGACAGTTACACACTTTGAAGACAAACTCATTGCGCTCGCAGGCGTAGCAAGTCGCTTTAGCGTCCGGTGGGAAAAGGGAGAGTACTTGGCAGGTCTGTGGATGAATAGCCTACCGCACGATCTTTTGTGGCGTGTAGACTATAACGCCCGGTTACCGCGACCGAGAGGATTCAGGGCACCATCATGGTCGTGGGCATCGGTAGACAGTACTGTTGAAGCTACAAAGTCTCATCCGCGTGAGACGCTTTTGTATGAACTGAAGGACTGCGAAGTGAAGCTTGCATCTGACTTGCTTCCTTTCGGCGCAGTGACATCGGCATGCTTGAGAATGCGTGCACGTTTGGTACAAGCCATATGGCGCGACGACAGTCTTTATGTGCGCCCGCCTCGAGTTGATTCGTCATTCTCTCGGGCGACTGGCAGTGGCAAGCAGCAAGAAGCTGAGCCAAAGGTCTACCGCGCGTGGTTGGATACGACGGAAGTGTGTAACAGAAGCGTCTGGGCGTTACTCATTTGCTGGCGATCAAAGGCTGCAGAGTTGGCAGGGCTGATTGTAGAGCCAGGTGAAGCTCCAGGAGAGTACATGCGGGTGGGTTGCTTCCAAGATTATCCTCGATGGATGTCAACAGACAGCTTTCAAGATCTCAGCCTACATGATATAACATTCGTTTAGTTGGGTGGCTCAAAACTATTAACGATGCACGTAGAAGATGGATTCCACTTTCTTCTCTGCCCGCAAGCTGAGCAACCTCTGTATTCTAGAAAGGAGTATCCACGGCTCATCTACATGTACTCATAACGAATAGAATGGCGGCGCTCTATGTAGCTCTCTCATTCGATCTCTAAGCAAGCATTCTCTGTCAAATGCAAATACATGGCTTAGGTAGTCACATTTGAACATTTGAACAGGGTATCCCTCTCTGAAGTAAATTGACTTCCAAAACTTCAGTATGCCTCTTTGCCCAATGGATAAAGCCTTGGCCAATCCGGCTGGCATGTACATATGCGTACTTGGGCACCAACCCCGCTTCGCCCAAGTAATGATTTGTACACTTTACTTGGTGTAACGTATAATTCATGGTGCGGTATACATAGTTCTATCTCCATTGGGAGCAAATATATGGCAAACTTTTTTGTTTCTTAAGAGCAAAATAGTCCAATATCTATCACTCGCTGTCTCATTAGATATAAGTCGCTTCACGCACTACAGTAAGATGTCGAGCTTACAGTCGATGGCCGAAAAGATCATATGCGAGACTACCTTGGACGCCCTCTCGGAAAGCCGATGCTTAGACATCACCGAATCTGGCACGCCTTGCAGATACAGACTCGTTGACTGCAAAGACCTTGTCAATGCCCAAAAGCTGATAATCTACGAATACAGCGAGTTCCCTCAAGTCCGCTACGCGGCCGTGTCTTATGTCTGGCGAGGCAACACTCCAGACGCGGATTTCGATGGGCTTGCATTCAATACGCCCATCCCACAGGCTGATGGCGCCGAACCAGGAGATCCCATCGGCCTTGGGGTCTTACATGAAGCCTGCGTGGCCTCCATGGCTTGCGGAGCGACACACCTCTGGCTTGATCGTCTCTGCATTATGCAGATGAGCGAGGAAGATAAAAAGTGGCAAATCTCCCACATGTTTAAGATGTATCAGAGTTGTCACGTTTGTATCGTCGCTCCGGGAGGCATACAGTGCCTCGTGCGTCTTGACGAAGAGACTCAATGGATCCATCGCGGCTGGACGCTGCAAGAGGCAGTGGCGCCTCCGCGAGTGGTTGTAATATTCTCTTGGACGCTGGGCCCGCGCCGAGTAGTTGCGGGCGAAATTCATGGAGAAATTCAAGAGGTCACTCCCTTGAAATCGGCCATGATGTCTCTGTCACTCATTGTCAATGCCTGCACTACCGGCAGCTTGAAGGTGGAGAAAGGTGACCATTTCCTCTTGCTGGAAGTCAAGCTGTTCAGTTCGCATCCTGCGGACAGGTCATACAATGACTTCCCATTCTGGAGACAGACGCGTAGAGTGTTATCACCCAACGTTGGTGCCCTTGCCCGCATCATGTCACCAGAGTTTGACCAAGACATAAAGGACCATTCTATCTGGCAGAGCGCGCTCATGCGCACCTCCTCTCGGCCTGTCGATATGGTGTTTAGCATCATGGGGCTTTTTGGCGTTACATTGAGTACCGGCCAATTTGGTAAACATGATCGAGTCAAGGCTACAATCGCATTGGCTCGAGCAATCATGGACAAGGGCGGGCGGGCAACCTGGCTTGCGGCCGCATTCCGTATTCCGCCATCACGGGAGATTTCTACCTTTCCCGTGTTTCCTCTCACATCCGTCTCTGGCAAGGCGCTGATTAGAGTGGCCAAAGGGCTACAGGAAGTCTCGTCAATCATGGAGAATGAGTATCCTGTGGCAGATGCGCTGGTTCCAATGCCCAGAGGCTCGATGGATTGTGAAGGGTATATAATGTTCACTGCAAAGGCTATTCGCCTTCAATCTCTGCAGGCGGAGCCAGTGTTGACTCCTTCAGATTCTGAAGACGCAGAGCCAACTCATGTGAGAGCTATTGACGAGTCATGGTGGAAGATCCAGGAGATTGTCGGTAGCGTGCAGGGAAAAGCCTTTGCAGTCCTTGTCGGCTTTTTTGTTGGTTTCTATCCCGGAGGCACACCCGCACATGATGCGAAGAACATCCGAGCCATGATTGTTGAAGAGCACGCTCAGCAGAAGTTCCACGTGCGGTCCTATCTGATGCTCAGCCAAAAGGGGAGGGCTTGGGTTCGAACTTGGCCGGAGCTGGAATTCACCGTTGGGGGTTCTACAAACAATACAAGAGAGGCTGTTGAAAATTCTGAAGTGAAGCCGCCAGTTATCTCCTCCTCCCAAGAGCAGTATCTCAACAACCCTGGCAGTCAATACAATAAAGTCATTCTATTAGAGGATCAAGTCATTCGTCGCGCTCGATGGGCTGCTCCACAGAAAGCGTTGGAAAACTGGGAGAAGGAAGCAGGGCTTGAACAAAAGGATGGATAGATAGCAGATGTTGAACATTATGCTAGATATACGTTATTTGTTGACGAGGGTAATCACCCCACGCCTATTCAAGAATCACATAAAAATGAGAAATACTAGTGGTTGATTGCATGCTTTCAGGAGTTGGCATCAGCTACGGAGAGAATGGGCCCAGAAGCCAGCGCGGTTGTTCGAGTAGACTGACGCCAAGACTCATTGGAAGTAAGTGCTAAGTTAGAAGAAACCTTACAATTCACGTGTAGTAGCAGGAGATTGAAGAGCTTTGTTGCTACAGCCTTCAATCCATGGACTGTGTTTAAAAGCAACACAGATGCCTGAACGACGTGTCTTATAGAGGCCAATGAGAAACGCCGCATATATATCAGGAGACAGTGAAAGAGTAGTAATAGTATATGCCTTAGGTGCATCATCGACTGCATTGCTGCCATGTTGCCCACTCTTTTTATGCTGGGCTGACGTGCCTTGCATGCTGGCTGATCTTGTGCTGAGTTGCGGGCGGATGGCAACATCCGCAATGTTGAGCTGTTAGGTACCGAAAGTAAATAATTGGTGGGCGTAATAAGGCCCGTGTGGGCTAGTTCATAGCATTATCCATGCCATATTAATGCGTGAGAGGATGTTGATACTACTACCAAATGTCAATTATCAGGCTATTACTTGCTCCCGTTCCTACCATTCATCACCTACTGACTGCTCTGTTTCTCGTTCACATACCAAACCTTGCCTATCGGGCGTGCTACTTAACAGACGGACACTGCTGGTATCTACCGTTTCATCATGGATACCAACATCAAAAGTCTAGTATGCGACTACTGTTGGTCTACTCTCTTTTCTGTCGATGGTTTCAAAACCGCTTGGGAGTCCAGCTCCTCGACCGATATGGAGTCAAATCCGGGCTACACATATACCACTGCTACATGGCAGGAGATGGAGCGGTCCGCCAACTTCCTGTGTGGTTGGTGCGAACTTCTCCAAGAAGAAATCACTCATTACTACCATATAACGCAATCCAAGAGAGATTCACGGGGAGCCATAACTGAGGAAGCGGGAACTCCGCCTGCCAATGCCAGATTTTGCTTCACGATCCGCTTCGGGAAGCATAACTCACCAGCGTCGCCTTTGTGCGTTCAAATCTCTATAGGAGATTTCCGATGCATTTCTCCAATAGTCTATACGACAACTGGAAACCCCGCTGCCGAGTTTATCAAAGAGCGCGGGGTTTTGGAAGATCAAGATTCCCCCGAAGCTTACTCTTTGGCGTTGCAATGCATCCGAGAATGCGAAAAGAACCATCCTCGGTGTCTACCTCCAAAGGCCGAGCGCCTCCCGACTCGCGTCATTGATTGTGCCGAGCCTGCAAGACCACGTCTTCTTATAACTCAAGATGCGCCGCCTGACCATTATGTGGCCTTGAGCTATGTTTGGGGCGAAGCGCAGCCGCACCGCACGACAAAAGCCACGCTTGGTTCATACACTGAGAGCATTGATACCAAGTACATCCCCAAGGCCATTCGTGATGCGATTAAAGTCACTCAATCCCTTGGCCTGCAGTACCTTTGGGTTGATGCTTACTGCATTATCCAAGACTCTAGTGAAGACAAAGCAAACGAAATTAGTTGCATCCGATCCATCTTCCGGAACGCCTATGTCACCATCATCGCCGCCAATGCTGGCAAAGTCAGCAAGGGCTTCCTCAACCCCTGTTGCATATACAACTCTCCCTGTGAGCTCCCATTCCGCTGCCCAGACGGTAATATTGGAACCATGAACGTGCAGAATTTTGAATTTGGTCCAAAAGAGCCAGTCAACAAAAGAGCATGGTGTCTTGAAGAAAGGGTTTTGTCTGCTCGGGCGCTCTGGTATTGCAATCATACCCTTCAATATGAGTGCCAGACGGGCCACAAGAATGTCGGCGGTAACCAGAACATGGCCGATGGTCAGGACGGACTCCCACGACTTCCAGACCGTATCTTTACGCCCAAACTTCATGGTCTGCCCCAGATCTCTGCCACGGAAGCAGAGAAGGAAGTTGCCACAGCGTGGCGAAATATCCTGGGCCTCTACTCGAAGCGCACGCTGACAGAGCCACGCGATCGACTTGTGGCTCTCTCAGGCGTTGTGGGGTATTTTGCGGATTTCTGGTTGAATTCCAGATATCTCGCTGGGCTATGGGAGCATCAGCTTCCAGGTTGTCTCCTATGGTATATCACCAATGCTGCTGTGAGGCCATTCAAATACAGAGCTCCGTCGTGGTCTTGGGCAGCGGTGGATGGCCCTGTTACCTCTCATTTAGGTGGGAATGCATCTCAGATATGCAGTGTTGTACGCTGCCATGTGGTGCCAAAGCGAGACATTAACATCAACGGGGAAGTCATCTCAGGTGTCTTAGTTCTGGATGTGATGCTTCATTTGGTCGTCTGGGATCCAGTTGAAGGGGAGATGTTTGACGTTGCGGGCGGATCAGTGGGAATTTCCGATGAATCGCGCTCGGAACGGGGTGAAATTGGCTACGCGCAACGCGATGCAATTGAACAGGTTTCCATGGCCACAAGCGAGGTTTATGCTGCTATAATAATCGATAATACCAATACTTTTCTAGGAATTATATTAGTACCGGTGGCGACAGAGAACAACGTCCCTCGGGCTGATGCCTTGGCATCCTGTTCCACATATCGTCGTGTTGGGTGGTTCACAGCGCCTTTTGTCAATAGAGACATCTGGTTGAGCACGCCTCGTATGCGTGTACAGGTTGTGTGATTACTTTACTTGCTACACATGATGTATCAGTCAAAGGTTACTACGAGGATGACTGTCCGGGCTTTGGCTCCAATCCCAGCGATTCTCCCACGGCAAATGGGAGGGCATTTACGGGGTATTTTCAGTTCTGCACATAATAACCGGCGGCGACATTTATCCGAAAGGCAATGAGGATTCGCTTTATAAGCCGTGAATGAACATGTGCATTTCCTTATCTTGACATGAATGGTGATTTCCGTATCGATTTACGGAATGTGGTTCCGTAATCGGATGTTGTGTCTGGGTAAGGCTTGGACAGCTGGATGGGGTAAGAAATGGTGAAAGGGAGAGAGAAGCTAGGATTTAGAGTTTAGCGATTTGATGTTTAGCTGGTGTCGGCTACTGCTAAAGTAGGTAGCGTGAAGTTGAAGTTGAAGTTGAAAGTTGTTAGCCTTAGATTGGAACTTGGTGGACTCGGACTAAACGCGCGTAAGCAGCTTGGATGAGGACGCTTTTTTCTTTTGCGGAGCTTTAACAGAAATTCACGACGAATTGGGCGGCTTAGTACGCAGCATTGCTCTAGACAGAAGGGAAAAGCAGCTTGATATTTCTACTTGGGCAAAAGCTGCTTCGTTATGTATATACATGCGTCTTTGGCCTTGACTGGTGGGGCGAAACGAGGAATACGTGCTGACAGAAACGTGGACAGTCGTCGTACGTTGTTGGCTGGCTATGTACCTGCAGGCTACATGCACCCGATGAGCAGATTGCGTACACCGTGATGCGTACACCGACTTGCGTAGACGTGAAGGAAGCTGTAGCTAGCTAGTTGAGCTCAGCTGTTGGGCACATGGATAGCTCATGTTTCTATCAAGGTGCGACGCTTAGGTAGATTTGGGTGCGGGCGAGCTAGGGCCACGAGTCGCGAGGTGCTTATGTGAGAAAAGGGACCTGTCCATCTTGTCTTGCTCTCAAGCAAATGTGTGGCTGGAGTCAGTCAGATGGGCTTTTGGTTTCATGGCCGCTTTGTCTAAAGATTGAAGCGCTGCTCGGCCATCTTCCTTGCGTTGTTGAAGTGGTATATTCGGTTTATAGGCAGCCCGGCTAACGGCACTTGGGGTATGACAAATGGGAGCCGAAGGACCTGGATCAACGGCATTTTGGTCGGCTTGCCGTCATCGATCGCCGCTGTCACTTACAAACGGCTGCCGCACCCGGCACAGCGACGCCAATACTATGTATTGACATGTTATAAGTCGGAGTCGGCCATGGATTGAGAGGGCTGCGGTGCTGCGGTGCTGCGGCTGAGGGAGCGCGGCTTCGGCTTCGGCTCACCCACAATTTATTGCTCGTCTCCGCTAGCACCAAGTGAGCAAGACGATGTATCTTACAGCACCCTCTTAGTTGGCAAAAGCTGCCTATCCCGCTTCTCCACAGGGCAAGCCACGATTTTACACAGCGCTATAGCTTGACACTACCGGTTGAGTCATATCGCCGGCTTTCAAGGCTTCAAGGGGAGAGGCGTCCAATCGCATGGCGGCGGGTGTAGAGCTGGGGGGGTTATGCTTTTACTTCTGCCAGTGACCAACTGACTTGAACACGCGCGGACGCAAAGTTTGTGACGTGCTTGCGCCGTTTTAGAAATGGGCGTTTTAAGGCTTGATTGTTGTGTTGCTGTATTGGGTAGTCGTCTCTAGTGCGGAATCCTTTGCTTTCCTGCCGGGTCTCGTTTTCCTCGGGTTTGATGAGGAGGTTGATTGGGGGTTTCTTTTATTTAGAGGTGGTTGTCGCCTTGCTTTTTGGGAATTCCCTTTCTTGGCATACATCTATGATCTATCTACATTAAGAAAAATTTACTATTGTTATTCGTTTTTGAAAGCAAAGCTTAGGACTCTGTCATAATATACTATTGTGTCCTGCTTCCTTTTTTTTTTGGATACTGCCTGCACGCCTATATTGCATTGGGTGACTAGAATGGAAGACAGTACATGTATACACCATACAGGTTGATACACTAATACATTGTCAAGGTAAAGATTGTTCCAAGCTACCATGATTATACATGATGCACAATACATACATCTCCCATCACTATTTGCCTATGCTAACAAGTAGCTTTTACACAGATGAGCATTACAATACGCATGGGTCTCGAGCCTAATCCGGATCTTCCAAAGGGTCCTCCCCGTCCAAGTCCAAGTCCCATTTCTAGTGCTACACCCACAGCTACCGATATCATATCCAGCATCACTAGAAGCATGGCGACATCAACATCAACGTCTTCTCCAACGCCCACCAGCAAGAGTAACGGATTCGCAGACATTGCTGAGGGCGGCAACAGCGGGGAGAAGATCCTGCGAGGATTCTTCATCGGCATGGCCATTGGCATCGTACTGAGCTTTGTGCTGTGCTGCTGGCTGCCCTGCCTCAGAAAGAGTCGAAGGACGAGACTGCAGAGGAGGAACGACAACATCCGCCGCAGACTCGTTATACTCGAGGACGAGGCCTGGGTGAACCAGAACTGGCCGCAGAGGAGACCGTGGGAGGTTGGCCAGGATGAGAGAGGAAGTTATGAGAGCCACGAGCATGAGCAAGTGAGCCACGAGGAGGTTTGAAGATGAGGAATTTGTTCCAATATTTGGAACAACGACTTGCATTTTTTTCTATTCATTTTTACTTTTTGCTGTATTTGGAAAGCGGGTACACTTACACGGCGTTGGATGACGATAAAGCAAGGATATCCGGGGACTTGTTTGACAAGGGAAATAAACTGGGATAACGCGTGTTATGGGATGGAGTTTTCAGGCGTTTTTGCTTATGGGAACGATGGATCGACATGTTCTTCTTGTTGGGCTTGGCTTGCGAGGGTATCAGGTCGTCAGAGCTGACGAGTTTAATGAGGATAGGCACGGGCTGAGATGCTTACGAATGGAATGAGAATTACATGAACAACAATCAAATAATAAGAATATTTTATAACTAGCATCTTAAGTGATGGAACGAAGCAAGCATCGCGGTGTGCCTTTCTAATGATAGCAGCCCATAAGTGAAAAAAGGCAGACTTCACGATGCAAGTCCAAGGTAGTACGTACCGGCTCTCGCTGTTTCAATGGCAGCTCAGCCACCCTCAACTGGTAGGGCGCGTCAGAACAGCAGCCGCGCAGCCAATTGGCGGCACGCAAGAGCATCGCGCGGCTGTGGCGCAGCAAGCGTGGCTGCCACGAGCAATGACGTTGGCGGGGAGCCACAGTCGTGCGTAAGTAGAGCTGCGATCAACTGAATCCTTGGCTTTGCTGCAGGCATATTTTGGGCTCACTCAATCGCAGCTCTGCTTTTATCTAGTTGTTGATTCCATCTGCTGATTGATTCCATTGGCGTTTTGAGCAGCGACTGAGCTTGGCGCTACTGCAGGAAATCCTCAGCATCCTTCCCCCTCTACTGGAAACATTTGTGTCTCAGCTTGGTGTGACCTCGTTTTATAGGCGCCCGCGTCAAAGCCAAGCCTTGGGTTGGAGCGAGATGACCAGCTGAATTCCGGGCCGCTGGACTCTCCATTTTAACTCACTTAGACCTCTCTTCTTATCACCTCATCGTCTCCAAATTCCAATATACTCTGAACTGGTTACGGCTTCCCACACGCCATGCTCGACGACAGCTTCCCGACGTACCGCCTGGCCTCCACCAAGGAAGATCCGCTGCAGACGACGCTCTTCTACACCTACAACGGCTCGGATCCCTCCCGCGCCTACACCCTCCAGAGACCCGCGCCCTCGTCCTCGGCCAACCAGTATGCCGTCGCCCTCTTCGACGCCCAGCACCAGTCCGTCATCTACGGCGAGGTGCTGGTGAAGCCCGAGATGCAGCAGCCCAGCCTCTCGGCCGCCGAGCTCCGCAACCAGAGCGGCTCTCCGCCCAACGTGCCCATCACGCCAGACTCCTTCTCCGTGCTGCTGTACAACCCGGACCAGAGCATCGCCGTCAATCGCAACGCCGGCGGCTGGAACCGCACTGACTCGTGGGGCTTTGAGATCCCCGAGCGCACCTTTAAGCTGCCGAGTGCGAGCAAGCTGGACCAGGAGACGGGCAGCAACGAGGTGTCGGACCTGTCGCCCAAGATTCTGTTCCACTGGAAGCGGGATGGACGGCTGAACAAGGACATGACGTGCTACATGTCGGGCAAGAGCGTGGGCGGCAAGAAGAGCAAGGAGCCGGACATCACGGTGGCCATGTATCGCAGCGAGAAGCAGGGCGATGCGCTGAGCATCTACGAGCCCAACATGGCGCGCGTCGAGGTCGAGGACCGCAAGGGCCTGGAAGTTGTGCTGCTACTGAGCGCGGTTGTCGTCCGAGACTTGCACTTTGCGCCTCGGCAGAATCCCTTCAACATCGCCAGCGTGGGCATGGCTCCGGCGGCTGGTGCAAGGAGAGGCTCACGGCCTTTGGCACCGCCGCCCAGCGACCCAACGCTTGTGTCGGGCGCATTGGGTAACGTTCCACCCCCGGCGAGACCGCCGCCGAACAGTAGTGCGGCGAAGCAGGCCGAGATTGCAGCAGAGACGCGGCGGCTACAGGCAATGGTGGCCGAGGAAGAGCGACAGCGTCGGGAGCGCCTTGTGCGACAAGAGGAGGAACAGACGAGGCGGATGCTGCAGCGGGAGCAGGAAGAAGAGGCGCAACGGCGGCGGCGGCAAGCCGAGGTCGACGCCGAGACGGAGCGTCTGCGTCGAGAGTACGGCGTGCAGGGCCAATGGCCGCCGCCGCAGCCCTCTTCCTCACAGCGGCCCTCTGAAGCGACAAACGCAGGGGCGACGATGTCTGGAGCGTTGGGAGCGTTGGGCACTCGCTTGTATGGCCCGCCTGTCGTCAACAATCTCCAGCCTCCACCGCCGCCGCGACCGAGCAGCGCAGGGCCGGGACCATCTACACAGGCACAGCAGCCGCAGAGAAATGGCCGCAATAAGCTGTCTCCGCCAGTGCCCGGGGGGTCTTCGGGGCCTTATGCTGGGCCGTCGGGTGCGCGGGCGAGTGCGCTGAGTTTCTTTGGAGGGGGGAAGAGTGATGAGGAGAAGAGGAAGAAGATGAAGAAGAAGCAGAGCGTGCATTTCTAGGTGTATGGGATTGTCTTTTTCTCTTTCTTTCTATAAAATGGCGTTGGAGTAGAGAGGAGCATACGAATTGCTTGTCATTATACCGGAAATATGATTATGAGATAGATTTTGGGGAGCATCATTCACGATTGTGCTTTTTTTTTTTTTTTTTTCATGAGGATTTATAGCATTTCACATAAGCATCAGAAACAAGTATTACGGAATGAGAATTTGTGTGATTATTAAATGGTTTGAAGTAGATATCTAAACCGATCTTTTCATCTCTCCCGTATCCTCCTCTGCCTTAGATGCCCATAAGCATCCCTTTGATATCCCTTCTCCCGGCGTAATAAAAAAGGTATCCTTGCGAATCGAATCAAATGGGTATATGATGTATAAGGATTGTAAATCAAAAACTTTTTTGTGTGTGCTCCCAGCCTCTAAATTCCCATGCCCAAGAAATCAAAAAACTTTTATGTGTGTATGTTTCTTCTTAACGAAAGTAAGAAAGCATATTTGTGGTCGTCAAATCGTTTCAAAAGTTGGCGTTTTGAAGGTTCAAGCGTTTTGTTTTTCTTAGTGGATAATGGGGCGAATCTGCTGGTAGTGCAGAGAGTGGTCCTTTGTCTGGGTGACGCTGCCAATGGTCTTGGACGGCTTGGAAGAAGGGAAGAAGCTGAGCCTCTTCTTCTTCTTCTCGACCGAGGCGATGGAGCGGTTGTCCGGGGTGGGAGCCGCGGAGGAGGTTGCTGAGGAAGTAGGGGAGAAGATCTTGGGGTGGTTTTTGCCGGTGCTCAGGTGAGCGCGGATGTAGACGAGGTCGTCGATGAACATTTTGGTGGTTTGTTTGGTTTGAAGTGGAAGAAGAGTAGTAGATGATGTTTGTGTGTGTGTGTAAGTGAAGCTCTTGTGTGAGGCTTTGTTTGTTTTGTGATTGAAGCGTGTTGATGCTGATGATGCTAGTGATATTTCTCTTTCAAAAGCATCTTCCACCAGCTCCTTATATATCAATTCCACCACGACTCCATTGGTACGTACTTTTCACGATGCCGCGACTTTCCATCCTCATCCCCTTAGTTGGCCCCTTACGTATACCTACAAGGCTACAACAAAATTTTCTTTCCATACACAAAAACATGTTTTTTCTTGCACGAACACGGCGGATCCGTCCGTAAAACGAGGGTATCCACCGCTCTCTTTCTGAGTGCCGGTGACCCACAACCCGATCGTAGTCACAAGGAAAGCTCCTTTTTTAGAAAAAGCCCATGACACTATTGCAGGTTTTTTTTTCTTGCCTGTGATTCGAAAAAGTGGGTTTAGGGAAGAGGTGTGGCTCAGCTTTTCGTTGGTTCCTGAGTCAGCCCGGAGAATATTGGCTAAAAGAGATTTTTTTCCTCAGGTACCTTACCAGCCTGAGGTACGTACCACGGTAAACCGCGGGTTAAGCTCGCTCGGGCCGAAAGACAGGGATTCTGTAATTGAAGACTGAATTTTTTCAGTGATGGATGTGGCTTGATGAGACGTTGGTTTGCTGGAGTGTGACAAGGGTTGGGCTGGTGATTGGCTGTGACAGGGGCTGTTTTGCTTTTGTTTACGTGTACGTGTATAGGTAGGTATGTATAGCAGCCTGAATGTGTTGGAAGCTGAAGCTGCAGCTGCAGAAGTGGATGGAAGCGGGAAGCGGGAAGCGGTACCTGATCGGGCCATCGGCGTAGGCGATGACTGGGCGATGGTTCGGCATGACTGTAGGCGATGCGAGCAGCTTCTACGGATTACTCGCTGATTCCAGGCAGCTGCATGCACTATGACTGATCTCTGAGTAGAGCTTGCAAACACCGTGAATAGCTTCACTTTGCAAATCACAAGTGAATACGTACTTACACGGTGGATATCTCCTGGTATCCTCATCTCCCCGTACACGTATTCATGACAAAGGCTCATCTCCACAGCATCACAGCAATTTTTTCCTTCTTCTTCAGAAAATGCCCCCTATCCCCTTTTTCTCTCGCTCCCGCCCGCCCCTCCAAAATGCGTGGCAGCCCTATGAATTTTTTTTTTCTTAGAGTCACGAACCTCTTTCTGTGCCGTGAGACCCGCCTGGCCGGGATCCGCATTAGCTTAGGTACGGTACTTGTCCACTTTTTCTCTTATTGTGGCTTGAAATTATTTGCTGCCCGTAGTGGATATCACATCTTTTATAACATAACAGGGCTGAAAAAAGTTGCAAGAGATGAGAAAGAGTTGGCGAATGGTGGCGTGTAAGTGGACTCCGTGGCGAGACAATGGAGCTGCGCAGGGCTGGCATTGTGGTTCTTTGCCGTAATAATTACTACCTGGGCCTTGCTAGCTTGTGAATTTTATTATATAATTTTCCCAAGGGCGGTGGAATGACCTCGATTTTGGTTGCTTGGATGAGATTCAAGTGATACATGCAATTTTTTCCAGAGCTGCGGTCAGCTTCGGTTGCTAGGGGGGCGATGGATTCTTTTTTTTTTTTTTTGCTGGATGGATACGTTGCTACCCACGTGGATCGAACGTTTCGTCGTGATGATGCTGTTCATGTGGATACGGTTCGTGTGAGTTCTACGATGAAAGTAAAGGGGCGCATGAAGACTCGTGTTTGCGTCGAATGATGAAGCTGGTGTAAAACACATGATTGTCATGAGGGCTTGGCATTGATATTATTGTTTTTGCAACTCCGATGATAGCCGTTGCTTCTGCTTTTTTACTTACAACTTCGATTGTTACAATGAGTGTCTGACGAAGAAGATTGCTTCCGCTTCGTTACGTGTATGTGAGAGCCGAGTAGTATCGCATTGGGCGTCCATAGACACTCCCTCCCTCTACAAAGCGTGATGAACATGGAGCCAACTGATTGGGTATGAGCAACCTATAAGTATCCGTGGATACTGCAATCCCACATGTAGCCGCTGGTAATGACCATAATGGATACCTTCAAGACCAACCAGTCCCTCATAAACAGAGATCCACCCAAGCCCGGCATCCCATTCCGTGCCAATCGCCTACAATTCATTCTGATCCTCTCTTGGCATCAAGTCGAAGAGGAGCGCAATGCCAAGCGATCGATCGAGCCATCTGTAGAACATGAGCATCATCAAGAGCGTGTTGTCGTATGAACCAAGCTGATGGAGCTCCGGAGTCCTCGAGCAATCTTTGGCCCGCTCTTTGCCGGCAAGTCGAGACTCGTCGATTTGTCCACAGCAACAAGACTCCTTTGCTGCCCAATGGGTTGAAGTACGACAGGGGCCGGCCAAGCGATATTGGAAGAAGAGAAAGGAGAGATTTGTCTCCAAATAGCCCTCTCGAAAAAGCGGGCGGAATATCTCCTTTGAGGCACCCGTCTTCGTCAACATCAGCCCTCAAAGGAACGACATTCTCAAACTCGGCCTCTCCTGGTACTATCGATGAAAAAGACAAGACAGGCACCACAATGTAAGTAAGAAACAGACGCATGGATGCATGTCATCATAAATGTAAAAACTCGACATAGATCTAGGCAAGTCATTTCATACATCTCCCATAACCAAAAATAAGCCGGCTCTCAATAAACAAACGCCGCTCATGCAACGCCTCCCACCTCCCTCCCTTTCCGTCTCCAATGATCCATTTATACGTCCAAGATTCCCTACCTTGTTGGCTTCTCTACACGTCATTCTCGTAATGTCTTGTTCAAATTGATTCATAATATTTCCAATTTTTTTTCTGCTTATTTCCATGTTTGATGTTTTTTCAACTTCATTTCTCCTCTTCAACGTTTTCCAGTCTCAGGTCGTTGACGAGCATGTATCGGCTGAACCCGAGCCACAGGTAGCGGAACCAGACCATCTGGCTCTTATGCGCCGTGGTCATGGCGCTCAGCGCAGTGCCCAGGCTGGGCTCTGAGCCGATGAGGTTGTTGGCGTAAATGAGCTTCTCCGGACGCTCGGGGTCCTTGTTCGGGGTGAATAGTGATGAGGCAATGGTGGTGAAGAGGTCCAGGCCGCCAGAGTATTTGCGCAGCAGGCTGACGGTGTTGAGCGTGTAGACGTCGACGGGGCTCTTCCATTCGGGCTTGCCCTCAGTCAGGGCTTTCGCAAAGCCTCGCGCGCCGTGGTAGAGAGAGATGTGGTTGGGGTGGGACGATACGCCCTGGCCGTCAAAGGTAATGAGGGCGTCGATGTTGGCTGTGGGCTCGGAGACATTTTCGGCTCGCTGTTGCGCAAGCTGCGGCGCAAAGGCCTTTGTGAGCAGATTTGCGATCTTGGTCTCGTCCCAGTGCGTGGTCATGGAGTCGGGGAAGTCCTTGCTGTAATAGACGCCAATTGTGTCAGTGCCGTACTTGTTTCGCGCTGTAGAGGCTGGCGGTACTTACGGGTTGTCGACGACAAAGACGTCGGACTCGTCTCGAAGACCGAGGGCCAGGCCGCTCTGGATGAGCTCCTTCTTTCGCGTCTCGCCTAGTCCATCCGCGTTGCCTAGAAAAGCCCACGTCAGTCCAACATTCGAATGCGCACAAAGCCCTCTTCTCGGCATCATCTCGCCTGGCTTTCTGCTCTTCGTCACATGCATCGCGTGGCTAACAACGTGCCAATACTCCACAACCTTAAACACCCCACATGACATGATCATCCGGATCCTCCCCCTCTTCCTCCGCACAGAAAGCCATAGACATGGAGACGCCAGCAATTGGGCGCTTGCAGCGAAACAGACGGGCTCGCCATACCTGAGCTCAAGCAGAGAATCTTGACGTGATTGCCCGTATCGGGGCGTGCCAGGGCCAGCACGGTCGGCGCAAAGAACATGGCCTCATCGTCCGGGTGGGCAATCAGCAGACACACGCGCTTCTCCAGCAGCTCCGGGAAGCGGTTGCGCACAGCGTTGGCGGTGCAGATGTAGATGCACGGCACGGCGGCGGCAACCGAGGCGGCCAGCACCAGCAGCGCGTTGGAGTCGATGGGCAGGTCCTTGAAACCGAGGTCAAAGGGCAGGTTGAAGGGCAGGCTGAGGCTGGTGGGCATGGCGGCGGCGATGACGGAGAGAATCGATAGGACGATAAGCGAGGTTGCGGTTGAGGCCGAGGCTGAGGCTGAGGCTGAAGCTGCGGGAGACGAGCGCGTGTGTGGCCGCTGGGACAAACTGCCTCGAAGAATAAAGGACGAGCCGCGATTTGAAGTCGACGATGTTGCTCTGGTGGCTGTTGTTTGTGTTTTTGTTGGGGAAGTGGTACAAGTAACAAGCCGAGTGCCTTTTTTTCTGCGACGGGCGGGCTTTAAAATTGAAAAGGCGGGATGGACAAGTGGGGGAGAAGCCCGGAAAGCGCCTCTGCAGGCCGCCGTGCGCTGTGGCTCCAGGGCCTGGCTTTAGCTTTAGCGGGCAGACGGCCATTGGACAGCAGGGTGAAACGCGCCAGATTTGCTGCAAGGGATCGGGCTTGACGTCTGCAGCGGACGAGTAGGAGGCCGCGGCGAGGGATCACGCGGAGGGATGGAGGCGGCAGTTGGCAGGAAGATGCAAGGTGTAGCTGTGGAATGGAGCTGATTAGGCATCGTCTATCAATACTAGTATCAAATCAATACAGCCAGTATGTGTACAGCTGTTTATGCATCTGATCTTGTGCTACTCTAAATCGCAACTTACAGCTGTCGATAGCGCCACTGCCAGGGGCACCACCGATAGCATTATCGATAAAGCATCCCCCACTGACATGCCACTGCGGAGTCTCTGCTGTGGCCGCTGATTGGCCCCGCCGCAGCCTTCTTCGGCTGATGTCGACCGACCGGCCGATTTGATGTCATTTGTCAACTTTCCATTATTTTTCTTGAACTGAACACGAGACACGTATCTCACCATCGCCAGCAAACACCAGATACATTCACACTGCCACTCTTTGGCTCATTTCTTCTCAATTCACATAAAAAACAGTCATAAATATATCCAATTACTTCAACCGACGCAAAATGGTCAAGAATCGCAAAGAAAAGCCCCCCAAGGCCATCAAGCTCCGCCAGCCCGACCGCTCGGGTCCATCCGAACAAACACTCCTCCAGCTCGCCGACGAGCAGCAGCTCTTCAAAAAGGCCGCCAAGCGGGAAAGACAGCTTGCCGGGGACGAAAATGAAGACGAAGACGACGACGACGAAGAGGGAAAGATGTCACCCGGAGCGGAGCGCTTCCTCGAGGCGCTGCTATACACGACGACGCTGGCGACGCTGCACGTCACGTTTGACGTCTTGGTGATGAACCAGTACGGCACAGAGATTAAATGGGATCGAGTCATCCAAAACGCCGGCCGAGCGTTCCTGGGTAAGTCATCGTCTCTTGAAAGACAAACCATGTGTTAATTGTCATGTTGACAGCCTTCTTCATCCTCTTCTACGTCCTCCACCCCTCCGAACCAAACGCCATCCTCATCCCCGGCCTGCCGCGACGCTTCCAGCGGCCCCTCCGCCAGCTGCTCTTCTTCGCCATGAGCTGCACCGCCGGCTGCGCGCTCGTCTACACTACAAACTCTAGGGGCTACCTGTATAACATGAAGAGCGCGCCGCCGCTGGGGTGCATCTGGCTGTGGGCCGTGGTCGAGCTGGACCTGCTGTGGGCGGTGCCCAGTTTGGCCGTTACGGGCGTGTACATGTGGGTGAATGGGTATTCGATCAAATAAGCAAATCAATAATTTTTTTTTTTCGACAAGAAGAAATAGAAGAAAGATGTTTTGTCTTTCACCAGCCGTTTGTTAAAGCAAAAATCAAGCATTGTGTTTTTTCCGAGAGGAACAGCGAATAGAGAAAAGTTATATGGTTTTTTTTTATTTCATCTCGACATTTGCTATTCTCCGTAATCCGACTGCCACTCCTCAGTCGTCTCTTCATCGCCATCATCCGGCCTCACCAAAGTCCTTTCAAGCACCTTCATCCTCGCCTCCAAATCGCCCATCCGCGCCGAAATCATGCTCACCTGCAAAAACTGCACCCTCGCCGTCAGCGCCTCCCGCTGCCTCACCAGCTCCAGCGCCTTTGTCCTCACGCCCAACCACGACACCGCCACAGAGGGCCTCGTCGCTGTTCCCCCCGCTGCCCAGCGTCTCGGCAGAAGCGTCCACTCAGAAGCGCCCCTCAGCGCAGACTTGACTTCTATATCCGTCACGAGGTCCAGCAGCCTCTGCTCCAGATTCAGCAAATCGTCCATGACAAATTTGTACATTTGCTGCTGCTGCCTCTGCCGCCGTTGCTTGTGCCTGTGATGTCCATTCCTTTTCTTCTCGTCGTCTTCCTGCGCATCGTCCATCGCGCGGAGCAGTTCCGCCAGCCACGTCGACTCCGTCTTGTACCACGACAGCGACGTCTTTACGCGGAAATACTCATCGTCGCTGTTCCGCAGAAAGGCGATGCGCGCGTATGCCGCGGCGGCAATGGCCACGACAAAGGTGAGGATGCCGATGACGTTGGCGGACGTGGAGAGCGGCGAGTCTTGGTTGTTGTTGGAGTCCATTTTTCTCTTTCTCTTTCCCGACTCAGTGGAATTGAGCTTGTGTTGTCAAGTATAAATGGTTAAATGCATTTCAAACAGATGGAGATGATTTACGGCATTGTGTTTTTGCTGCTTTGTCGGTGGTCAAAAAATACTAAACCGATACTATCACAGGCTTGTTGAAATAGGTGAGCTTGGACCATTTCCATAGCTGGGCACTAGTCAGGGGTAGAACCACTTTTGCCCGAGATGGAGCGTTGAAAATACCACGCCATAAAGCCATGATACCATTGTCTACGGGCGAACCACATCTTTGGTACAACTCAAGATTACATCACAAGGAACTAGAAGGAAATCAGCCAAAAAACAACTCAATTTTATTCGCCGGAATATAACCTATATCATAGACCTCGTACACTAGCAATACGTAAATCCCGGCAAAACCATTTCGCAACGTCAAATAACCCCTTTCGAAGCAAAGATATCTGCACACGTAAAAAAGCAATATGCGATCAAATGAAAAGAAATGAGTATCAGAAATTAGAATAAAAGAAAACGAATAAGACATAAACAAAGAACACCCATTTTTGATTCCTCGTCATTCGGTCATACATCTTTATGCAGATCACGCTATGCAACATGATGGCTAGAAATCACATCGCTCCTTTTTTGCCTTCCTTTCTTCTTCTCACTCTCTCATCTTCTTTTCTGCTTTGTCATTCTTCTCGGCTCTCCTCCTCTTCTTCCGCAGGTAATAATGGTAAAGAAAAAGGAGGAGGGAAAAAAAACAGCAAACTGGTCTATGTGAATAGTGGTATCAGGCTCTTCTCAGGTTCTTCTTCATGTAGCACAGTAATTAAAAAGAAATAGGCGGATAAGTAAATAAATGCTCATCATGCTCCAAACAGAGACAGTAAAATCAGCAGGAAAAATAGGAAACGTCTGACAGATTACTTTTGTCTGCTCGGCTGCTCCGCGAAGCGAATGCCCCTTCGGGCTGGAGGCACTCGGGGCGTGCCCTCGTCGTCCGAGTCGCTATCCTCAGTAGCTGCCGCGCCGCCCATTCCCAGGGCTGCTTCACGTCGCCTTCGCTCGGCCGGTGTTTCACCTGCCATATCGCGCCTTTGTGAATGGCTTGTTCTGCTGCCGCTACCTTCCATCTCGCTCTCTTGGCCTCCCAGTGCTGCGAGACGGCGGCTCCGTTCTACGGCAGTTTCGCCCTGTAGTTCGGAAGGATGCAAAGTGTTGTTGCGACGGCCCCGAGGAATATCGGCTTGCCGTCCAGGAGAGACGGATTCAGAGTTTCGGGCGCTGTGAATAGGACTAGGAGAGACGGAGGGGGACGCTGAGGTGGTTTCAGAGGTGGTGCTGGGCTCGGGTTCGACAATCTCGGGGATGTTGGAAGAACGATTGGCTCCTCTTTGTGACAGATCTTGGCGGGCCACAGCTTTGAGCGCGTTGGATGCCGTCGACTGGTCCACAACCTCCTTGCGCGTGCCAACGTCCAGCTTCTGCACCTCTCGGATGAAGTCGTCCTTGGTCATGCGTCGTCCCACTCCTCCAATCGTGAAGCGAATCTGTCTGTCGTCCGCCGAGTCTTCTTGTTGCACCACGCTCTTCTTGCGGCCCTCACCACCGCCGAGGACACCAAAGCCGGTGGTCCAACCAGGCTTGAATACGGGCTTGGCTAAAGACGCAGCCGCAGAAGTAGCTGCGGTCGTGGCAGCAGCCGTGGCAGCAGACGCAGCAGACGCAGCGGATGCAGCAGCGGCGGCGGCCGCACCAGCAGCAGAAGATTCGCCTGCCTTGCCTTCTTCGGCAGCAGACTCGGCAGATTTCTCGGGCTGGCGTGCAAGAGCACCGAGGCCAAAGTACTTGAGACTGTTGTTGATCCGGGTACCCTCCTGGCCAGGCTGTCTCTGCGAGGGGAGTTCATAAGTCTTGACGACCTCTCCGTCCTCATCTTCGACAATAATCTGTGTAACAATTTAGTCAGTTAACGCACGTGTAAGAAAGGCGTACAAGAAATTCATACCGTGTTGCCGAACTGATAGGCTCGAGCAGGTTCGTGTCGTCGGTGGGACTTGTCTTTTTCTTTTCGTTTTTCCAACTCAGAGCTGTACACATCCGTCATCTTACGTCGGATGCCGCTCATTGTCCAGTGGAATGGTTCTGCTCCGGTTTTGAATTGGCGTCGGCCCCCAAGTGTTGGGAGAGTCGTTCCTTCTTCTCCACCTCCACCTTCATGAGGGACCGCTCGCTGATCTACAACCTCGCCGTCATCATTCTCAAAGACCAGATGCTCTCCTTCCTCGTAAACATTGACCTGCGGCGCCCGGGGGCTGGTCCGGGGGCTGGCCCGGGGGCTGTGTTCGCTGTTCCTGCGGCGGCCGCGTTCTTCCTCTGCATCATCCGACTTCTCAACATCCACCTCTGTAGGGCTATCACCAGAGAAGTTGGAGTCTCGGGCCTCTGGAGGCGACGGCGTCTCCCTCTCGGGTGGGGGTGACGCCAAAGCAGGACGGTTGGGAAAGATGGCCGACTGGCTGATGGGGCCTCCAGGCCCACGGCCATCGTCCCACTTTTTGTTTCTTCTTCTCCTGCCCGACAGTGAAGACGGACGACTGTTTGAGCGACCGTTGGTGTCGTCTTCCTTCTCTCGCTGCCGACGGAGGAATTGGCCGGGTGGGGGTATGGTGCCCGGGGGGAAGTCGGGCACCTTGTAGTCATCCAGGGACGCATCTGACATGGTGCGTGCCTGGGATCTAGACTGGGATGAGATCCTTGGCAGTCGATTCATCCATGACGGCCCATCGTCAGGGGCGGCGGTGTAGGACATGGTTAGCGTCAAAGTGTTGATGCGCTTGCCGAGCGTAAAGACGGCCACCGATGAACCATGGACCAGAATGGAGGAGATAACCAGGAACGTGACAATTGGCCAGACCAGGTAGATGAGGTTGAAGTGAGGAGCATCGGATGACGGCAGCTCCGATAGCGGCACGGGCTCGTCGTGCTCCAGCTCAGACCGCGCGAGGATGGCGACGAAGATGGCTCCGACGCCGATGGGGCCAAAGTGGCCTGC